GCGTACACCGCTACGAAGCGCAGTTTGGCCCAACCCTTAGGCAAGATTGCTATGAATACAGTTTGGTTTGACGTTGACATACACGGTCGGGAGAAAGTCCTTGAACACGATATCTCTGTCGTAACCACGACAGGCGGGTTACTTAGATAAAACTAAATAATGTTTACTTGACAGTCTAGTGCATAAAATAATTCTACAATTCAAAGATCCTTTCTCTGGGGAGAACACATGCTCCAAGATGCTTGGGAAAGCTGTTATGAGGCACGACGGTACTCGATTTCCTCCCACGCGTTTTCAATAGTACGGTGCAGAGTCCCCAACTTTGTGTGGGTGAGCGCAAGCTTTGGCCACAAGAATTGATCCCACGCTTTGTCAAGGGTACAGGTCCGGCGAATACTGAGCATTCTGCAGGAGTGAAGTTTTTTACGTTGCTTAGATGCCCTGTTTGAACAGTCTTCTTGTTGCACTATCTTGCTGAAAGCACCAATCTCTTCAGGCGAATCGGGTATTGGTCCAGGGCAACATCCTTCAGAAGGCTTCCGAATATGTAGCAGCGTCATACCTCAATGCCCTGGGGCACAAAAATTGCGGCATCCTGCCGTCAGAAGCAGTCGTCACCCAAGATGAAGCTTAATTTAGGAGTCGAACTTTGCTATTGGCTCAAAAACGTTTGCGAATACTTCTGTTATTTTGACGATTGAGAAACCTCCTCTACGGTAAAATTTTTTTATCGGACAAGAGTACCGTCGTCCGACGTGACGACGGTCTGTAACGTGCCTTGACAGCAGCCCCGTCGAATCGAATTAATTGACCAGGCGTGAGTTTACTGCACTCGGGAGCAATCCCAAGTGCAGTAAACTATGATGGTGGGCAGATCTGATGCTTATTGTTAGTCCAGCTCCCTTGGGGATTTCTGAGTCTGCTTTGTTATGGTCTTCCGATTTGTGGGCGTGGGCGTACCCGTGGTTATGGCCTATTATTTTTAAGACGCTCCTGTGTGCCATTTGTCTCCTCGAAAAATGCAGATGACCAGACCGTGTTCCACCGAATTACAAGAATTCGAGCAATTACTGTTGATTCTTCCCGTCCATGTGCATCGTCACAATCAGCTCATTACCGCTTGAGAAGGCATAATTTTGGTAGTAGCAATGTTATCAACTCATTGAGGTAAGGCTTTCGTAAGGAAGTACAACAAGCAAATACATTCAATCAACAGAAGTATGTGGAACAGCCTAAGATACAGCATCATAATTTGTTCAAGGACTTTCTCCCGATCCCGTAATTACCCCCTTGCAGTGGTCAGTACTTCATGTTACAGAGTGGAGTGGGAATAGAGGCAAAAGTTGCAACTGGCGCTGGCCATTTATTACGTATACTATTTTCGGAATTATAGGCATAACAACCAATGCATGCGTTACTGGCACCAGCAAAGGCAAGTTCCGAATCTACAATCAGGGGTAGGGTGACGAACTCCGCGATTATGCCGCCCTTTGCGGCCATCTTCTTTGGCAATGCAGGTGATCGTTAGAAGACCTTTTGTACGCGAAGGCGAATGTGGCAAAGTTCGTGTCCTTACCTTACAAGTTCACTAGCACGTTCACACATTCTTTGAATGCGACGTAATGAATTGGAATCTCAATGCAGCGAAGTAGGAGACCCTCCCCTCCAAGTATAGTACTAGTTAAGGGCAGCGTTGGGACAAGACATAAATCTGAGGGAATCTGAATCTTTCCTGGGATTGTCAGTCCCTCTAATTCTAGAAATGTAAACCGAAGGCGCAAATTACCGAGAAAGGGATTTTCTCGAAGTTCTTAAACTGAATGCTGACGTGCAGGTGAGAGCCTATTAAGGTTGATGTACAGTCGTTGTGGTATTGTATGCTCATGACTGTTGCGATATGAAATGCGACTCTATCGCTGGCGGATATCAAGGTTGGGCGCGATCTGGAACAGAGGCGGGTACGAAATACTCCCGAAGCAAGTTTTTAAACTTTGTAGAGGCTTCGGTAATTGGGAGGATTGCTGTTGTAGACCTAAAAATCTAATAACCTCCTTACCCAATCCCTTGTTGTCCGGGTCCTTTGAAGGCAGCGAAAGGGCAAATCTGAACATGCGGGGATCTCACGTGGATAGTAATTTTAGGACCCTAACTGTGGCGAAATAGCGCCTTTGGAATAAGATAAGTAGCTCCGCTGTGTCATTAGACGTAAGCTTAGAGCTTTATTGAGACAGGCGACCTGCATTGATGCAGTGGTACCCTATTTTCAGGTGTATAACCCGCACCCTTTTTGCTCTAAACGCGAGCAGACCCAGGCGTGCCGCCGCGCATATGTCTCGCTAAGCGGTCGCCTTATCGCATACTTCTCTCACTTAGCGCGCTGCATGATGACAGTCTTTTGGCGTGTTCGCCTTTAGAGCGAAAAGGGTGCGGCTTATACACCTGAAAATAGGGTAGAATGCTGCATATAATGGGCGTGACAAAGCAGTATACATGCATCTGGGCTACAGAGCTACTCATATCACAGTAGGTCATGCTTATGGCATGACCTGTGCGGTACTTAGCATTGAGTAATGTGATACAGCAAAGAAGGGTGCCGAATTGTCGGCACACTCCACCGCTGAAAAGCGAATGGATAGCGAGGAACGCGATAAAAAATATAAAAACGACTGATTGTTTCCAGAAAACAATAATCTACTAAAGAAGGTGAAAGAGGTGCCGAATCTACTGGCACACTGCAGCCGGCCGGGTATGAAAAAGAAAAGGAAAGTCAGCGTATAGAAAACACGTAAATAATTTACTCCTGCTCGCGAATTCTGCTCTTTGTCTGGATAGAGCAGTAATCATTGGTAAGCGGCGCGTATCGCTTCGATTGTGTTGATATCCGCAAAGGAGGGATGTAGCGACGGAGGCAGACGGTTGGAGTAAGCGGTTTCTATAGAAAGGTTGAAATTAGAACATCGATTACGGCACACGCAGTTGAATCTCAAAACGTTTACACTTTGAATACTTGTAGTTGAATTACGATTTTATATTATAAGATTTGAAGGTATTGAGCTGTACTGCTTGCTGCTTTATCATGTACTCGTATCCCAGCAGGTCATGCTTATGGCATTATGGCATGACCTGTACGGTACTTAGCATCGAGCAAAGAGATACGGCAAAGAAGGGTGCCGATTTGTCGGCACACTAACTAAGCCCCCAAGCGGCAGCTCAGATAGCTCTGACGGCTAAGATATTCGCTTCCAAATTGGATCCCAGGGTCTTATTTCGCATGGATTCGTGGCGCAGTTCGTGGGTCCTCGCGCGAAACTGATGGGTTGCGTCATCCATGCCGATGCATCCTGGGGTCCAGTTTGGAGGCGTATATCTCAGCCGTTAGTGAGTCACCTACGCTGCCGCTTGGGCATTGCGTTAGTTAGGGCCCAAAATTACTTTCGACTTAAAATTTCCATAGGTCCAGATTTGCCTGGACGCTGCCTTCAAGTCCGCACCCTCAAAGCAGCCGCTAATCTCCTCCCCCAAATTTGTGGATAAACAGTGACATATGCTCTTGCAATGACTTAAGTTTGGGTTTGTAGCAGTGGCGGTCTCATTTCCGTTCGGTTGGGGGAGAGGACAACATTTCCTCCATTTCGAAATTAATTTGGGATGCTTCGCAAAATTTTTACGGGCCCATAACTTCGCGGCAGCTCACCCTCTCGTTTCCCGCTACTGAAGCAACGGCCTTATGTCGATCCACCACTTATCTATAATTTTTTTCTCCAGTAATTCATCTTCGATATAGAAGGCTTTCTAGAAAGACTTCATAACTTTCGCGCTCTGAGCTGCTCACTTGAAGTCGTAACGAATAAGCGAACTTAGAGGAAAATGAGTCAAAAGTCAGTCAAAGACTTGTAAAGCCAATCTCTGAGACTAGTGCTAAAAACTGGTAAGCATGTGAAGAGGCAACCACTATGTTCTCTTGCGTTAATGAGTGTTTCAGCGCGCAAATTGGCATACTGGCAATTTTACTGCCACATGGGTCAACCTCAAAGGCAACGTCCATCCGAATTTTCCTTCCATGTTTTTATTGTTATCGGGCCTTTCCATGGCGCTGATCTCGGATATGAGGTTCAAAACACCAGAAAATTCCAAAAGTGCCCCTTTCTAAAGTCCTATTTTGTGACGTGGACGACTGCCGCGGCGCTAGTCACGTCGCATGCAATAGGAAACCTCGTTAGCTGCAATATTTATGCGTCTCGACGTTGCTTGTCATGTCAGAACACGTCATGGGGCAATCGTGGGTGTGGGGCGCAGGGGCGCAAAAGTACGGGCGGAGTGCAAAGCGGATCCAAGTCGCTATCTGCTGTAGGCAACATTGGAAACCGGACCAATGCGGTTAATCTACAGGGTTGGGGGAAAGTCTTTTAGGGCTACTTTTAGGGCTTTTAGGGCTTTTAGGGCTATAGGAAAGTCTTTTAGGGCTGTTCTTTTAGGGCATGCTAGTAGGTTGAGTATCAATCTGGGGTGAATGGTTGTGGGTGAGCCCCGAGTGCGTCCCATCAGACTGGGGGTACCTGGCTCTCGTAATGATGTAATAATAAACCCCCTACCTAAGCGATGACTGAAGTTCGGAGCGAAAAAGGGGGTCTACCAAGCCTGAAATTTGCTCCGAAAGTGGGCCGAATCTTACGGTAGGATCGGGCGAGTGCGAGGTGCACGCAAGATAGAGACGCAGAGTTGCTGCGGGTCCCTGCCCTCATGATGTGTGCGCTATACGCACTCTGGCCCTGCAAATCGATATTGCCGTGTGGGCGGCGTTCGGCCCTACCGTAAGATTCGGCCCGTTTTCGGAGCAGATTTCAGGCTTGGTAGACCCGCTTTTTCGCTCCGAACTTCAGTCATCGCTTAGGTAGGGGGTCTACTATCACATCATTACGAGAGCCAGATACCCCCAGTCTGGTGGGACGCTGCCTTTAAACTCTCCAAAGGTACCAATTTTGAAATTCTCTGTTTTACAGATGAGCGAGTAGAACGGGCAGTTGCCGTTCTGCAGAGAGCCGTAGAAGGTGAGAAAGAGTGTTTATGTAATTATCTGCTTTTGTATATTCTCCGCCAAACCCTTTTCTAGCGTATAAAAGAGGCGAAAATCCGTTTGATTACTCTTATCACGCTGTAACATGGCATTACAGTCCAGGAAACCTGCGCAAGATGTACGGTAAGGTTTTGCTCGATTCTATACAAAAGTCATTCAGTCCATATATAAGGTTTAGGAGTCCGTGAATTCTTTTACTACGCTTCTTGCTTCTTGCATTTCCTTCTAATGTCTGTACTCATTGCTAAGATACTGCGTGCAACAAGTATTGTACTGCTTGAGATGGACATAGAAAATTAGTGTTAGCCGTTAGAAATAGTTTTTTTTTTGTTGTTGTTTTGTTTCTAGAAAATGCGAAATTGTTTGCATTTTAAATAAAGTTTTTGTTTCGAAATTATTTGTGTAAATGTCAGTAGAAGTGCAAGAAAGTAAACTTTCATCAACTATCTAGTGCCTGATCCCTTTTCTGTGGTTGTAGGCGTGCAAAGGAGCAGAATATGGGAGCAAGCAAATCCTGTACACGAACGTTCGTGCTATTTTCTTATACAGGGTGTCCCAAAAAAATGTATCGAACGTTTGATCGTTAATAACTCTCTTCTCAAGAAGTCTTTTGCCTTGCTTCAGGTACCGTTTTGTAGAGCTGGCTTCAACTTAGATTCGCATTGTAGAACGAATCACTCCTCTCTCTTCATTACTGTAGGATTACGGTAGAAACTTGAAACATATGGTGTTAATGTGAAAAAAGCTGCCGTTTCAAAATTTTTCAAAAAATTGTGAAAACTTGTGTAATAGGGTTTTTATGGACGCTGAGTTCAATAATTAACTATTCACAAGATTACGAAGCTTTCTAAACGGTGCAATCCCACTTTTTAGGAACATTGAAAAAATGGCCGCTACTTCTTACCTGGCATAACTCTTCAATGAAGCATCATAATAAGTTGGGAACTTTACAGTTATAATCAGCAATTCTAATTAGCCTGATGTAAAAGTTTTCAGGCTGTTTTGTTTCCTTTCTGAGGCAAAATATGGCCTTTCATGGTTCAAAACCCTCTTTGAAGTTTCTACCGTAATCCTACAGTAATGAAGAGAGAGGAGTGATTCGTTCTACAATGCGAATCTAAGTTGAAGCCAGCTCTACAAAACGGTACCTGAAGCAAGGCAAAAGACTTTTTGGGAAGAGAGATATTAACGACCAAACGTTCGATACATTTTTTTGGGACACCCTGTATATACAGGGTATCTCAAAAATGTATTTACTGTTTGATCGCTTGATCGTTACTATCTCTCTAGCAATGACGTCTCTCGCCAATCCGCAAAACACCAGTCTGCACGGATTTTGTGTGTCTGTTACTGAAATTCCTAAAGCAAGTCCCAATCATGGAGAGCCAAATTCTTGCACAACACATGCTACCAGCATAACCTCAGCAAAGAAGCAGGAGCGAATTCGATGAGCAAATCATCCAGAATTCGCGCCAAGCTCATGCGAATGGCCTTTTACTTGCAACAGTGAATCCATAGTAGGACTTTTTACAAATTTATGAACTTGTATCACATGTGAAGTTGAAACCATGGGCTTTGTTTACAAATCTGTCAAAAAAAACCTGCCCGTATACTATGTTGGCAGAAAAGTTTTTGCGTAAATGCAATGAAATACAGAGGAATTTAAAGTAAACCTAAACTTTCTTCGACCGACGTATGCGCTTTCTTCTAGGTCCGAATTCCTAAGCTCATTATTCTTTTTCCCAAAATCAGAAAAAGGTTTGCGCCCCACGATAGACGTTCAAGCACTTTATATAAGCTAGCCATTGAGAACGAAGCTTTCAAAAATGGCATTTTAAATCGTCGATTTTGAGTTTGGTGCCAAGAAATTGCAGAGGCTCGCTAGCTGGACCTAAAAATTCTCTGAAAATTTCTCGTCTAGCAGTATTTTGCAATCAACTCTATCAGGCTTTCATCTCGCATGGAAAAGTAAAAACAAAAATTCGTGGAAATTGATCTTACAGGAACAGTTCCTTATTGTTGCAGTTTCTTCAGATGAAATTACGCTTGCATGATGCATTGTGACGTTTTTCTGGGACAAACGGCGTATTTTCTTTTTTCAAAATAACATTCTTCACAACATTTTGTGATCACATTCCTATGCAAGGTTGAAGGTGCAACAGTACAGTACGCTAAATTGCTATGTAAGAAGGTTCTAGAGATTTTTGTGCTAGGCCTCTAACGCCTTTCTGCTTTTTCTGCCAGCAAAAAAATTGGAAGACTCAAAACGTTATTTTTGAAAACTTCGTTATCGGTGTTTAGCCTATGAAAATTCACAGTCAAACATATACCATAAAGCGCAAAACTTCTGCTATTTCTGACACATGAATTTAGGTTCAGAATCCAAAAAGTTTTGAGTTTCGTTCGAATTATGCAAAAAAACGTCAACATAATAATCAATTATTTTCTAAGGGTACATAGCTAATCATAGAAAAAAGAGAATAACTACAATTAGGTGACAAAACTTTATTAAGCACAACGTTCATATTCCAAGTATCACCTAGTATATTACAGCGATAGATCATTTTTCATAATTTTTACAACAACATACTTAACTAAGTCCATAGTCAGGGAAAAGCAGATGAAGCGTAGCATTGAGAACCGCTCTGAATATGATGACAATGCCAAGCAAAGCTATAAGGTTCACAATCAACAGCAGTAGAGTGTTGGTTCCTGAAATAAATTAGCCAAGTTTACTCTTACATGTATGTCGTACAGCACGAAATTTGTCATCATTGCCACATGGGTTTTCAAGCATTGAAGCCAGGGATTTGAAGGATTAGATACTTGGTGGTTTATTAGCAGGACACTGACTTTCAGAATTGATGAAATCTACCCAAATTGTGAAGTAACGAAATAATGTCTTGGATTAGCACAATACCGTGGACTCCAGAAACCATTTTCTCGCTACTTTTGGTTTTGCACAACCCATAAATCCTGGTGGATGAATGCATCTTTTGGATAACCAAAACAATTATGGCTTTCAAAACGGTATGTTATTGTTAGCAAATTATTAATTGGCTAGAAAATAATTTAGGTCGTTTTTAACGGTGTGTAGAGAAGTCACACATAGATTTTTGTATATATGAATGGCACCATTCCAAAGAGTGAATCAAGGAGAATCGGATTTAACTTTTCTTGCTAAAAATATTTTTTTTGATGGCGAAATGGCGCAAAGAAGCAAAAAAGGAAGATTTTTTTACGTAAAATTTCCGAAAAATCATGCATCAAAAAACAAAACGAAAGTGGGTGTAAAGTGCATGAATGGTACGCACACATACGATTTTTGTAATTCCAAACGTTTGCATGGCCGATGGTCAAATTCAAAAGATTTGAATTGCCCCAAAACCGACTTTTATGAGCAGATACCTAAAATTTTTCACATTTTTGGCTACAAAAGTACACGAATAGCAGATCGCAGCCTCCGTTGTGGACCGCTGCGTAACAAAAGACTGTATGTATTTATTTACTCACTAAATTACTTGCCTCTGCATTTGCTACAAGCTGAAAAAGAAAATTAGAAAGCCAAAAATGTAATTTTTGGAAGGCTCGCCATATAAGTCCATAAATGTCTTTTATCATGCTTCTGAGTTTTATATAAAAGCTACCCGCCTACACAAAAATCTTATCTAGATAACAGTTACTTGAATTTTTATGGAGCTTCGAAGTTGCATGTCAAAACGAAATTATGTATTAGCCAACTAACAATGGAGCTTTTTCATGCCTTCTTTGTAGCCGCCAAAAAATCTGCGCAAGATCGTCTCCCATCTGTACTTGAATTTTGTTTCTGTCTAAGAAATAAGGAAGAAGTAGGTTTTAGTTTCGCAAATATTATGTGGTTATTTCGTCTCCCATCTATACTTGAATTTTGTTTCTGTCTAAGAAATAAGGAAGAAGTAGGTTTTAGTTCCGCAAATATTATGTGGTTATTTCTGTGCATTCAGGCACGTCAATATAGAATGTACAAATTGTCTTTGCATCAGCTTACTAAAACTCATTTTTTTTGCGTAATGACATTCTGGACCGTTCTTTTATGATTAGCGACTTTCACAGATTTTCAAAAGATTTGGGTCACTGAATGTATCAGGGTTGCCACAAAGGACAGTGGCTGTAATGGAACCAAAATATCGACTAGCAAACCATTAATGTACCCTCAACTTTCTATACTAAAAACACAATTAGATAATTGTGAAAAAAATTGTAATACCATATAGTTCTTCCTGCTTTCTAGAACTATAAATGATGCTAGGAGTGTTCGATGTTCCCATTCGTTCATCTGCTTGCGTAACCTCTGGAAATCAACATTTGTCAGAAAATGATGATTAAGCTGAAAGCTTCACTTACTTTTTTCCACTTCTGGTATGTAGTTATGGTATGGTGGGAAGAAATTCTAAAAAAATATCCTTGGCTTTTTTTACCATAAGTTTGTGTGATCGAATGTAAAAGTAAATAAATCATCGCATCCCATATCACTCCCGGTTTGCTAGTTCCTTATTGTGCTAACCATTGAAATAATATTCTTCTCACCTAATTCAGTTTTACGGTGGGTACGCTGTAAATGGATTTCGGCAAAAATTTGCTTAAAAAACTCGAGGAAAACGAAAAAAATCGTATCTCAATTCAAAAAAAAAACCCTGCGTAATTTCCACTTGCTTATGTATATACTCTCTACACCAAATGTTAATGTAGACAACCGCTGTATATCATAAAGCGGAAAATAAGAAAAAAAAAATGATATGCATGAACTGCCAAACTTTGCTCCTACTGATTCTGGATTGTCGCCACATATGGATTTATGTATCTTACAATCAGAAAGACTGCCGTAAATTTGCAGCCTTGTAGGTGCCCTAGATCTTGAGATATACCATTTTGAAGGTCTGAATGTAAAAAGGCATATGGGACAACTTAATTAATCAACGGAGGCTTTCAGAACCAGCGAATCTTTATTGCCAAGAAGATTTGCACTTTACAAACCATGTAGTAGTTTTTGCCACTCAAATCATTTTCACTATAAGAGATAACCGGGGTCAGCTGAGACTGTTGTACATACAAAGCCGCTTCTGCCGCGACGGGTTCGAGAATTTTTAAAGTAGCCTACATTATCTATATGCGAGAGTAACTTGTTTTTTATTTGTGCAAAATACAACTTTCTGAAGGTTTTTACTTCTAATTTTTATTTGAAGCAAATTAGCAGAAATTTACGGGGTTAGCGGCATTAGCCCTCTTCTTCGTCAAAAGCAAGCAACTGAAAGCAAAGCGCCAAAAATTTTTGAAGAGCTTTGAGTACGACACGGCCTTTTTCCAAAAAAAGAAAAGTAGGCTTTGCCGACAAAGTGGCCATCTAAGCAAGGCAGAGCTGGTCCATTATGGCGGAGTACGGGGGATGGGGAGACAAGAGAAGGAAGCGATTTCCGAATTGTAGATCCTGTAGAAGAAGGTGTATTTGCTGTTAATCCATTTGTTTATACCATGTTGGCAAACCCAAATCGAGAAATGACCGTGGCTCAGCAGATAGTCCTCAGCAAGTCTATACTTCTTTTACCCAGTCAGTGATCAGAGTCATTCTCTAAGCAAATTTGTGCATTTTTTTGGGTCAAATCAAAATTTTGGTAAATTGAATGATAACCTCTATGAGCGCACAGTGATATTTCAACATTTCGGGACTAGGTTTAACATCTGGCTTGTCTGGAATTTCATAGTCAAGAGTTGTCGTAGTCGCTGCGGTCGTCGTCCTATAAAAAAGACAGTAATTACAATCACTGAGGTTGCACTATAACCTTGTCCGTCTGAGTGTGGGAATCGATGTCTCTTCTGGTGTCGATTCTGTTTCATCCAGATAAAACCCCTGTTCAGTACTAATTTTATTTATTTTCTCCGTGGTTGGACGATCTGGTGGTTTTGTCGTTAGCTTTTTACAGGCTTCAACTTCGTCCGCTATTTTCTTCTTAAACTATCTGTTGAATAAAAGTCAAAAAATAACAATTTCTCTTCGTACAGTAGATTTTGTAGCTCGTAGAAGCTTTACTATGTCGTTTGTATGGCATCCGGAACACATGCAATAGACTTTGTCAGCTTCCATGAAGCAGTTTCCTTCGTAGCCACTCTGGAAATTGCAACGCGTATTCTTTGCGTTACTAAAAGTTGTCACTCAACAAATTTTTTGATAATCGCAGCGATGGTATAATAACAGAAAGTCAGATTTTCTATCGAAGGTATGGGAGTAACAGCCTTTGAAACTGTTGCCATCGCGCTCCTCTTATTGGTCAGACGTCGGCTCTGATTGGCCAGCCTTCGAGCAGGCCGGAGCGAGGACCGAGGTCTGCGCGCGCAAGCTCACTAGCCCTTTTCTACATCTATTACGTCCAGCGCGATGGTAACTTTAACCTATTACACGCTAATAACGCGCTAAGGCCATTTGTCTTTTTGTGTTTGTGAATATCAGCCTGTCATAAAATCCGCAGAGCGAGCTTCAACCAAGATCTGCACAATCTTGCACAATTTCCTACCAGCATGTGGTCTACATGCGCAAGGAGGAGTTGGCCCATAGAGCGGTTCCTTCAAAAACTGCCCATCAAATGGATCCATATTTTTTCTGAACCGCAACACTAGACTGCTTCTGGGCTTTTTGCAGACTCATAGATTTGTATGACAGGTAAATCTGCAAGCTATGGACTTCACCTGCAAAAAAAGTAAACAAAAAGTATATATTTTTGCGAGAGCGGCGCTGGAAAGGCAAGCTTGCGTAATCTTGCTTTGTCACCGTTCTACCTAATAGATTGAGAAGATTCCTACTGAGACATGTAGGCCGCGGTAGTGAGCGTCTTTCATGGGAACTATCAAACCTTAACAACTTTAAAGACTAAATGAAATGCGCATTTGATCTTCTAACGATGGTTGTCTCCTCCCAAGTCATCGCTCTTATATGGAAAAGTATTCGAAATGAGTGGTTTTGTGCACAATGTATTCGCGATGATCAGCATGACGAGATGAGTTTCACAGTCAGTATCATGCGAGCTCGAAAAAAGCATGTAGATAGAAGAGCCAGGAACTTCGGCGAAGCAGAGGTTAAACGCTGGTAAGCAATAACCAATTGGAGATAAGCATTATTGATTGATTAATTTCATATTTAACCATTCTAGGACAAAGTGGCTCACATACATTTAAATATGTTCATGGTTAAAGGCAGTGGCTCGATGAAGTTGCGAGTGGGGGGAGGGGGAGGGGGTTCCACAACTATATGGCCTTCTTGACCAGCTGAGTCAGGTATTGTGCTTGAAAAGTAAAAGAAAAGCGTCTTTTGGAGTTTTCGGCCTTGGAGATTGCTGGAAAGGCGGGGCGAGGGATTTGTGTCAACTGTATCGCGATTGGTTGCCTGAGCTGATCAGCCAATTGCGCCAAAATAGGTGGAGTTACAGTATCCTGCAACCAGTTACTGTTTATGAGGGGAATCCCTCGTCCCGCTTCTCCAGCAATCTCCAAGGCCGGAAAACGCCAAAAAGCAACTTTTTGATCCAGAAGGCCATGTAGTTGTGGAAAGCCTTCAGTGCGATTTTCTCGAGCCACTGCCGTCAACGTAGTTTCTTCGCGGTGATAATAGTTGTGCGAGAGCTGTGATTGCGAATGCCGACAAAGCGCTTGTATCTAGCGCGTAAAAATGGCATTAGAGCGCATATCAGCAGTACGCGTAAGTGTTGTTGCCATCGGGGTAGGGGAACGAAAGCCGCCAGTTTGGGTCGCCTCCGCGGACTGCTGGTCCTTGGACGACATGCAACAACACTGCGAAAGGGCCGTTGGCCGCGAAAGGCGGCTCAAACTGGCGGCTTTCGTTCCCCTACCCTTGCCATCGCAAGAACATCATCTCGAATCAGCAGGGAATTTTGGGGCGAGGCAAATATGGAGGTGGATTTTTAAAGACCAGACATAAATCACGCGTTTCATCGCCTCGCAATTCTTTCCACAAGACAACTGGTACAAGTCCATTTTATGTCGATCATCTTGGGTTGTGATAGTTATCCGTAATCGTGTCGGGGACCTATCACAATCGAAATGCAAGATGATTGACATGCAATGGACTCGTAACAGTTGTCTTGTCGAGAATATCGCGAAGCGATGAAATCACTCGAAGTATGCCCGACCCTGCACATATCACCTCAAATTTGAAGACTGGAGATCAAGCTTACTAATATGCAAACGTCACATAATAAACAGAAAATTATTGTTTTTTCCTTTTAGATTCATTACTCAAACGGCAGCTACCACTCACACTCACGAACTTTTGCATATCCGCCACACCAAGCTTGCGTACATCATACTTCTTGCAAAACCCTTTTGCATCGTCGGATCTGTATTCGAACGAGATACATCCAATTCTTGCATCCTCTACTTTTCCAGCCTCAAAAGTAATATCTTCACATTGTCCACAAATCAAATGTCCAGCTGACTGATTCTTTGTACGATTTCATATCCATGCACGGTCCATCGTAGGTTGTCGATGCGCAGAATGGCAGCACTATCATAAACAAAGCACTCAGTGCTGAACTGATCATGGTCACGCAGAAAGAAAAATGAGTCTGACTTCATTTCTTCACAGAAAGATGGACTCGAACAAAAACAGAGAGATGGCATGATAAGTGTCTCCAATGAACGTTGTTGTGTGTTTCGGAAAAAGTAAGCCGAACTTATGCAGGGTCAATGTAATCGTAGAAATGGTAATATAAGTAGTTCTTTGCCATACTTTCCGAAGTTACTTTACACCTTTCCCAAAAATTACCAGACTGGTGATGATTTGCGAAGCAAAGGTGTTCAAGCTAGGCTTTTGAGGGTTGGGTTAAAAATGGTAAAGGTCCTTCCTTTTAAAGCGACGCCTTGGCCTCTCACCTGTGCATTTTCTGCTCTGCGACACAGTTCCCAAGCGGACACAATTTGAATCGTAGGGTCCCATACTGCTTATTCTATTCGTGCCTTCTATTTTCTTCTCCGCGCTCTCTAACGTGAATCTTTGGATTCAGCGTTGCGGATAACTGTGAGTTATCCAGTAATCGAGTTTTGCCCGAATACTCTCTTAAAGGCACCGTCCACCCAAAGCGAGGTTGATGAGATTTCGGTGGCATACTAGTTTGGGCCCCCACACTAGGCGAACCCCCAAGTAGCGCCGCAAAATACTTCTTCCGAAGCGAGAAATCCGCTCCGGAAGGGACGTAACCGGAGGTGGTCACTCCGCCCACTTTGCAGGCGCGCTGATATACGCAGGGCGTCATTAGCAAACTAGTCATGGGCAATTGTGTAATCGATTAGGAGTATTAGGAAATGTTTGCCCGGTCTTGATCCAGGCCCCGTGTATTTAGCACATTCACACAGAAAGCAGTGAAAGCAAGTGTTTTAGCACACAGAAATGCGTGATAGTTTATTGCAATGATCCATTAGTCATGTAGACGGCGTCAACGATCATTTTGACTACAAATACTTTTCAATTTGATGTACATTGCAATGAAAAAACTCACGTCGCATGTTCATCTCGTTTTATTGAGCACAAGCGTCGTCCATAAAGAAAGATCATGTCATGTTGACATCAAGAAAAACAGCTATGCCGGATGCTGATAATGGCTATAATCGGAAAAACAACTTTGTCGTAAATTTGGTCATGACTGAATAAAAAATGAACAGTTGAGAATACAAGTACACGAAATAACACTAGGAAAACTGCGATTAGTCGCCTACGACGAGGCAGCGTACTGCGCTGTGCGTGTAGTCTCTTCAACGGTGCGCCTGCAAAGTGGGCGGAGTGACCACCTCCGGTTACGTCCCTTCCGGAGCGGATTTTTCGCTTCGGAAGAAGTATTTTGCGGCGCTACCTGGGGGTTCTCCTAGTGTGGGGGCCCAAACTAGTATGCCACCGAAATCTCATCAACCTCGCTTTGGGTGGACGGTGCCTTTTGCCCCAGTCTTGATCCAGATTCCGCGTATTTAGCACATTCACACAGAAAGCAGTGAAAGCAAGTGTTTTAGCACACAGAAATGCGTGATAGTTTATTGCGATGATCCATTAGTCATGTAGACGGCGTCAACGATTATTTTGACCACAAATAGTTTTTCAAATTGATGTACATTGCAATGAAAAAACTCACGTCGCATGTTCATCTCGTTTTATTGAGCACAAGCGTCACCGATAACGAAAGATCGTGTTCATATCAAGAAAAACAGCTATGCCGGATGCTGATGATGGCTATAATCGAAAAAACAACTTTGTCGTAGATTTGGTCATGACTGAATAAAAAACGAACGGTTGAGGATACAAGTACACGAAATAACACTAGAAAAACTCCGATTAGTCGCCTACGACGAGGCAGCGTACTGCGCTGTGCGTGTAGTTTCTCCAACGGTGCGCCTGCAAAGTGGGCGGAGTGACCACCTCCGGTTACGTCCCTTCCGGAGCGGATTTCTCGCTTCGGAAGGAGTATTTTGCCTCGCTACTTGGGGGTTTGCCTAGTGTAGGGGCCCACACTAGTATGCCACCGAAATCTCATCAACCTCGCTTTGGGTGGACGGTGCCTTTAAAAGGTACCGTCCATTCAAAACGGGGTAAGTGAGATTTTGACCGTTACTTGGGCGATCACTAAGTGATCGCCCAAGTAACGGTGTAAAAGATGGCTTCTGAAGCGAGAAAAACGCTGCAAAAGGTAGAAGTGGCGCAGGTGGTTTCGCCCATCAACGTGGGTGGTCTATAGTAAAAGTTTCAGAATCGGTCTCGAATGTATCTAGTTGTCATAAATCCGTCCTTCAATATGATTATCGAATTCTCGACATTTCTATCTACAATACCACCCGTAATTTGTGAAAAAAAAAATGGCGCCGGCACTTAACTCACGCGGGCCGCCGCCATTTTTTTTCACAAATTACGGGTGGTATTGTATACCGGCCCGCTTTCGAGCCATTAGGCTCGGACCAGCCACGTTAGTCGGCGGAGCCACCCGGGTCGCTTCTACCTTTCAGAGCGACAAGATTTTAAGCAAAAAGTTTGCGTTTTTGTAATTATGGTTTTTATGGAAGATGTTTTTTTTATGCTGTATCTACTTTCGATATGATACGAAACTGTCATTCAATACAATATTCAGCGTGCGATATGCTTATTCTGTGCTTTGCCGCTCACACCGATTTGTATGTTGAAAGAAAAAACTATGATTGTATTATAGATCGACAGTCAAGTTTGTTTCTTTGCATATTGGGTTGTTCAGGAGGAGTTTTTTTTCAAAGTTTTTTCTGGGAAAACTTGAAAATCCAGACAGATGCAAAAGAATTGTTAAAATTGTATGCTTTCCCCACTGCGTCGATGGCGAACTACCGAATTTGATAGATTGAGGAGTCTGCTGGAGCAAGAAAAAAACTAGGATCGCGGAACTCGGAAGAAGAGGGCCCTAATTGATTGCTAAGCTATGTCACATCCGCCAACGGAACTTAATCGACTGAATGATCAATCATCAATCATGGTTGAAACTACTGAGAAGCTTTGTTGAATTCCTAGTCTCTCTGCAGACTGCGGTCGAATGGAAGAGACAAGGCTCTAAAAAAGCGCTTTGCCTTGTGTTTAGAGCTAGAATAATGTCACTAATATTCAGAGTTATAAGTTTTGAGAATGCGCATGTCAGAAAAAAAGACGAAAGATGGAAAACATCGCAATGATTCAGTTAGTTCAATTTCTGTTCTTGGACAGTATTTCACCTTAATTCGTAATCAGTTTTTCTTCTACTATATCCCAATGGTGAATGTGAGAGAATGATCACTCCTTGCACTGTTCTTACCAATTTGCGAAAATTCACTTGACGCTTGCAAAAGTTCCATACAATTCGTAACTCTTTCAAGTTATCTATTAGGTTGTCCCAGAAGTCTTTTCATTTTTGAGTTTTCGCTGGAATAAGTCATACATTTCTTACTCTAAGCAGATGTCAGGATATCATTCGATAGAGCAAAGAAAGCTCTATAAGAAATCGTTTATGCTTTTGCACCGGCTTTAATCCACCTCAAGTCTAAAACCAAAATCTAAAAAGGTTCGGATACCCAAGAAATTAAAATTTTTTAAAAATCTTTGTCCAAATAAATCCTACAGATCTCTTACTTGCTCGCATATACATTCCACATCAGACACTCATATGTGTCGTTGCTGTATTTTTTTATTAGTTAGAAATCAAGAAAACGAAAAATTTCATATTTATACCAAAGTGACGCTGTGCTATTACTGAAAAGTTGTATACTATGAGCTCTCAGAAGTACAACCATAGTTCCTTAGCTTTCTACGAGGTCCGATTCCCAGCAATGTTGATTTAAACGTGAAAAAACTCGCGTGAGGACAAAATTCGATGTTTCTCGAAAACATAAGCTTATAGAGAACTAAAAATTTGCGGCTGTATTTCTAATGGTTTTTAGTTTTTTTAGTTTCAAACTTGAGATGTATCAAGGCTGGTGCAAAAGCGTAATCGACCTTTTAGGACCTGCCTTGCTTTATCGAATGATATCCTGATGTCTTCTTAGAACAAGAAGTGTATGACTTATCACACCGGAAACTCAAAAATGAAAAGACTTTTGGGACCACCTAATAGTATAGCCGCCTGTAATTTTCTCGACATTGTTTTACCAATATTCTGTTCTTCAAAAGCAACTGCTGGTGCTGATACTGCATGAAAGTTTTACCGCACCACAAGTGCAAGCGCTAAGTAGGAAATATGTAGCACAAGAAGATCGGGAGCCTGACGGAATACCTGTAATAAGTTCTTCTTATTACAAATCTTGCTCGCAGGAACCAGAGACATGCCCTCTTATCAAATTACTGTCAAAATATTGAGTCGATAACAATAACATGCAGTGCCCCATTCCACCGCGGCCAACATGATGCTTATAAAATGTCTCATATTTTTCGCAACTTTCCTAGGATTTATTGGTGCGTACAAAATTGCAGTATTTGTTCCGTACTTCGTCAAAAGTCAGGTAAGCGCACCATGAGTTGTGAAAAAACGTTCCAGCACGCAGAAATAGCATGCTATCAGTTTTTGAACTTGCAGGTTGTCTTTAATAACCGCGTGGCTGAAGCTTTATCGAAAAATGGACATGATGTTACATTGATTCTGGTGGCCGCTCTTGATGGTTTTGACACAAAAGGTGTGAAGGCTCCAGATGACGTAAAAAGTAAGACTCTAATCAGAATTTAGATGTTAAGCTTCTGAGTTTTTATGTTAGACGTGAATTTGCTTTCGTTTGAACATCAATACTCACCTCGAAGGCATTGTTTTGGAATTTTTGGCAAAAGTTTTCGATATTCTTTGCAATTCTCTTGACTGTATAAGATATAAACAACTGCTTTTCTAGCAAAAAAATTCTTTTTCAGCATACTATTTGAATGCTTCATTTGGCATGAAAGCTGAGGACTTTGATAAGGATTTGGAAAGATATGTCTTTGAGGTATGCAGTTCAAAACTAGGGAGGAAGCAGAGCGCAGCTAGCAGCAAATTTCGTTTCTTATCAGAAAAAAATTTGACGACTTTTCAAAATCTGTTGAGAATCCGCGGTGCTTTTCCAGGATATTGCTATCTGGGATCACAGGCAACAAGCATTTCTTGGTCGTGCCTCGAGTTTATATCTCGGGTCATGTAGAAGTATGTTTTTATTATTTTTTTTGAGAGACGCATTTTATTTCAAACATTTCCCTCCAATAGAAACTATTCGAGAAATTTTGAGATAAGGTCATTCTATTTATTAGAAATCCTTCAGAAATGGTAGAAAACAATAAGTTTCTCGCTTGGATTTCTGCCGAGAAGTTTGACCTGGCCATCGCTTATGTGGCAAACTTGTGCACTGTTGGCATAATACATCATGCAAAGATTCCAACTTGGATCTGGCTCAACAGGTATCCCGCAAATATGCAGAAATTTGTATAGATTTTGTTATTTTTGTAGCGCACCTTTGTTTGATTTTGTCGCTTACTATATGGGGATGCCGCTCATTCCAAGCTACGTTCCGCGTAGGTCTTTTTTTATTAAGTGATGGCAATCATTTATAAACAATCCACGCACGCAAAGACGGGGCGCAATTGCATCCGATCAAGATAGTTCGTGTTTGTGAGAAACACCAAACGGTTAGAGGAATAAGAGTGCGTCTAGTCTGAGAAACGCAGACAGCGTCCGTACTTGCGCCCTGTCTGCGCGCGCAGTGATTCGCCTTTACCTTTTGATGTTCTAGCTATGGTATTGGACAGCAGCGATGTGATGAATTTTAAGGAGAGAATTAACAGTTTTATAATAAATTTGATATTCGTCCCACTTTGGAAAAGGTTTGCCTTTTCAAGAAAAGTCTAATCATTCTTTCAATACTTTGGTACTCTAGAATGCTACCCGATAAAGAGACTGCCATATTTCGAGAAGTGCTGGACCCAAATTTCCCGGATCTGACCGAGTTAGGGAAGCGGTGTCCACTAGTGAACAATAAAATCTAGTCCTATGTTCACAATGGATAAATAAAAGAATGCTCAGGTGATGGTCAACACAAATGATCTTTACGATTTTCCCAGACCAACCCTGGCGAAAATTGTAAATATTGGTGGAGTAGGATTTCAGAAGAACGAAGTGAAACCACTGAACTCGGTAAGCCATTCCTATGATGTATTTATTTTAGTTTGAAGAGTTTGTCTTTACTATAATTTTTGAGTTTATTTTAGAAATTCCAAAAGATAGTCGACCGAGCAAAAGGCATCATTTTGTTCTCATTTGGCACAGTGACTCCGAGTGACAAAATGCCGATAAGCTGGAAAATGGCTTTTATCAATGCATTCAAAAAGTTTCCTGATTATCAGTTCTTATGGAGATATGTAGGAACCGATCTTAAAGGTAAGAGCTTCCACAACAAGTTTGTTAAAATGGTGTGGTGGTAAAATTAATAAAAATGGTAATATTACAAGAGAGTTTTGACTGGCTGGCTCTTTGAGAAAGTATTAGGTCGTAACATAACTTTTCACACTTGACGTCAAGATTTTTCAAAACTCTTTTGTAATGTTTTTTCTTACTTTTGAAATACGTGGAGGGCTGTAGTCAGGGCTCGGGACGAGCCGGCACCAGGAAAAATTCAAAACGAAGTCCCATTTGATATTGAGTATTTCGTTCGAAATCTTCTTTAACCTGTTTCGAAGACCCGTCACTATTTTTAGATTATGTAAAAGCATGTAGTAAAGTTTCATGCATGCTAAGCTCAAGGAACAATTCTTCACAGCTTTTTGAGCTTTTTAGATGGTTGAATCACATCTTGAGAAGCAAAAAAGCCGTTTTTCGACTGTGGAGCAGACCGAGTGATTTTCAGATGGCTATAAAACGCTGAAAAGAAAACATTATAAAATTGTTTCTTCTCTCTATGTAAACATTTGCAATATAGATACATTTTATGTAAAAAAGTATGAACACTTATGCGAGCAAAGTGTCGTGCCAGCTAAGCTGGCACCCAGCTGGCACGGTGCCAGCTAATTCAGAAAAAAGTTCAGCACAGCTTTCATTCACATAAGTTTTTATAAATTTTTGGGCCATAGTTCGGATCCCCCAATGCGCATGCACACCCAAATTTGGTGTCATATTATTGCGTTTTGACTGACAACGCCTTTGTTTGTTTGATGGACAGCATGCCGAAGGCATGCCGGCGACAATCTTGCGGCTCTTCTCCGCCCCGGACCTGGGAAAAACGATATCCCGTTTGCTTTCCGCCCAAAAACGATATTTAGCTTGACTCAGCGCCAGCTGTGCCGGGCCCTGGTTGTAGCTAATACACATAAAAAATCAAGTTTTAATTTTCTGTAGAATTTCCACATTTTATGGGACAAATTTCCAGTGTTGATGATTTATGTATAGTGTGGACCCCGGCCAGCTTCCCATATGTACCTCCGCGCCGCGAACGCAGCGCATGCCTTCAGTGCTCTTTTCGTCCCAGGACCTATTAGTTTCTATGCGTTCCTCTCTTTATTAACTTGTTTTTTCTGTAATCTCTTTCTTTCAGGGTTAAACGGACCACACCAGCTGATTATGACAAGTTCTTACGAGTTTCAAAAGTTTTGAGAGCTTCTGTCACAAAAGCTCTCGTTTTTTCCCTCCGCAATGAGGAGTAAGTATATTTTGAAGAGCTTTCTCTTCAGTTTTTCTGTCACGGACCAGACATATCTATTCGATTGGATTTGTTTTGTACAGAAACGTATTCCGATTGAGTTTGTTTTGTCTAAATCTTTTAGTTCCTTTATGCGGCACTGAAGCTTCAGCTTGTATAATTACGCTCTCCAGCTTATGCTTCTAGTTTTTCAATGATTTTGGAAGAGTCGTTCCAAAAGTAATTCTCTTTCCGCTGTTTCTACGATTTTCACCAGTCAGTGGTACTTTTATACTAGTATGCATGAGAATGACAACGAACAAAATGTTAGTGGAAGCTGGACGCTTTTTTTTCTGCTTAAGCTTTTCTCGAGGTAAGAACAGAGGGTTCCACTTCTTGTCTCACTCCTATCTTATCTTAAAAATGATTTTTCGTTCATGTGGGATGAGAAGCGTCAATAGTGCGCGCGCTGCGTGTGCGCTGCGGAGGTACATATGAGAACCTGGCCGGGGTCCACACTATATCATCAACCTCAACAATTCTATTCCTAATAGCTTACGGGTATTCCCCATAGGCTATATTCCCTAACCGCTTATATTCAAGTGCCGAATCACTCACCAGTGAGTGGAATCTATCTTTCAGGGGCCGCACCAAGCCGCGGCATCCTCTTTCTTGTATGTATTTCCTGGACAGTCTGACTGTGCACGGCTCAGCTCCGCCTTACTACCTATATAAGGAGCCCCCGATTGTATTATAGGTTGCTCCCCCCGGTTCAACACCGAGGTTCGTCTCAATAAACAATTCTAACGACTCCACTATCTTCAGCGAGACATTGGTTTCCACCAAATTGGTGCATCGACCAGTGAAACCACCTCGTATTCCATCTGCAATCGGAGGAATCGAGGCCATAAGACCCGCGTGGCAGGAAGAAGACAACCAACCGACTACCTGAAAATTTTTGTGTATCCTTTTCGAAGTGATCCAAAGAGGTGTAGGAGAAATCGGAAGGAATACCACTGACTATCTGAAAATCTCTGTGCATCCTTTTCGTAAGTGATCCAGGGAGGTGTAGAAGAAATCAGTCGGTCGTGTGAACTTTTTCTTGAAAACTCTCTGTGCATCCTTTTCGTAAGCGAACCAGATAGTGGGAAAGAATCAGTGTTACCACACATCCACAGGCAACTTGGAAACTTTCTGTGCATCCTTTTCGTAAGCGAACCAGAAAGTGAAAGAGTAGTCAAGTGGAGCACATAATCACACTAACACGTGAAACTTTCTGTGTATCCTTTCCGTAAGCGATCCAGAGAGTGGAACAAATTTTGTGAGTGCGGCACATAACCACATAAGACCGTGAAACCTTCTGTGAATCCTTTTCGTAAGTGATCCAGAGAGCGGAACAAATTTTTGTGGGTGCAAATTTCCAAATTTTTGTGGGTGCAAATTTCCAAATTTTTGTGGGTGCAAATTTCCAATCAATCTCCTTGATCTCTCGCGAATCCTATCCAAGGGCCGGAGATCAGTATATTGAGATTTGAAGGGAAGGTAACTTGAGTCACAAGCGCTCATTTTGCCAAAAAAGTCAACGACCAAGAACTCTTGGCTTAGAGGATTGAAACCCAATCCTTACCTGGTCAAGGTCCAAGCCACCTTACCAGTCGCACAACGTTCAAGCCAACCAGGCACGCTTGCAAATCAGAGATCAGCAACCAGCTGCCTCTAATGGACGGATCATCAGAAGATACGCCTACAAGTCTGCGAAACCACGCTAACTTGCACATTTGAAGACACAACAAAGCAACCAGCTTTCTATAGGACACGAAAGAATTAGAAGTCGGTATAAATAAGCAAAATGGCCGCACTTCAACTCTTTAAAGTCAAAATAAACAACCCTGCAAGCTCGTAAAATCCTACGTGACCAAAGTGAAGAACATAGACGTCCCCTTCATATTTCGAACAACAAAAGGGGAATGTGAAGACTATATAAAAGAAAAGGCAGGAGTAATCACAAATCTCCTCAATTCTCTGCAAAACGCTGGGAAATTGCTAGAAACACAGCAAAACGCTACCATTGAGTACATCGCACGCAGTGAAGAAAAGGAACGAGAGAAGCTGATGGTTGAACTCAGCAAGCATCTGGAGCTGGAAGCATTCGATTTGGAAGTGATGGCAGTTCGATGGCAAAACCGAATACAGTTCAGACAACATGAACTGAGGGAGCAAACGACACTTTTGCATACGCTTACTCGTAGTATTCCCAGTCAGCCAGTCAGCGAGATAGGAAGAAGCTCAACAACGGAACGAAGTGAACGCCAGATCAATATACGGAAACCGCTCCTAGAGATTCCTACATTCTCTGGCAACTTAGAGAGTTCAACAGTTTTTGGACAGTGTATCACTCATTCGCTGTGTCGAAGAGCTATCGGATGGCGACAAATTCCTTTTTCTGAAGCAAGCTCTCAAAGGAAAAGCTGCTGCCGCTCTGAACTACATCCCCGTCGTTGGAGACAAGTAGAAGACGGCCGTAGACATCCTGAAGAAGCACTCTGACCGGTCTGTCAACATGGCAGATATACTCATCAACGAAATCGAACGATTTCATGGAGCAAAAGACAGTCCCGAAAGTTGCCGAAAAACTTTCGAAGCAATTAATTCACGGATCATCCACTTGGAACAAACTGGAATGAAGATGAGCGCAGACAGAAATTGGCGCAGAATGATTCTGTCCAAATTTCCTGAAGACATCTGCGCAAGCGTCATACAAAAGGAAACTGTATGCGGCGATCACTTCGATGTTTAAGAGATTCTAGACGCAATCGACGACATCATCTTTCTTCGGGAAACGACTGCCCTAACGATGAAGACACTGCTTCCAAGCACCTCACATACGAGCGACCATCAGGACATAGATAATGAATCGGAATGGGAAGAGGAGAGAGGAAATCTCGAGCAGTCTCCATTTCCTACGAGCAGCAATCATCATTTGCAAGTCTTTAGGATGCAGCGAAGAACCACCTTAGATCATCGAAAAGCAAATGGAGTACACGTTGCACGAAGCCCGTCGTATGGAAACGAAGTCTGCAGCTCAAGCAAAGAACTACCCGTCGTGCGCGAAAGCGTACTTCAAATGGCGTCGGCAATGATAATCAACAAGGAACATTGGGATTATCAACCCGCAACAATACTGATTGACTCCGGCGCCCAGCAAAGCTTTATCAAATCAAAAATTAGTGAAGAGCTCAAGCTGCCAGTTAGCCAAACGACGTCAATCACCACATCAGGAATGGGAGAATTGAAAGAGACATTCAGTTTCAATGAATACGAATTACTTTGAAAAGCTTTCACAACGCAAAGAAGCTTAAGAAGATATCAGTGCACACAAAAGACAAGTTGACTGCCAATCTACATACAGCACATCTCACAGATGCAGATGTTCAGTTCATTTCCAAAAAGAACTTGAAGATAGCTCAAGATACGCTCACTCATACAAGCGTCTTGCCTGAACTCATTATTGGACAAGATCTTTTCAACTTCTCACTGTTCACACCGAAACAGTGCTCAAGCTTCCTTCGGGGCTCGTCTTAACTCCAACCATCTTTGGATATGTCATATCCGGTACAAGCCGTATCAACGTGAGCACAGAGATCGTTGGCACTTTTGGTTGTACATCAACGATGCAGGAAGCCTCCAAATCCGCCCCTCACCCTCAACGACACGTCAAATGGCTGACGACGAAGAAAACGGGCACCAATTTCAACGAAAGCAGTACACATGCAATCAACAGGAGAATTCTCCAAGCGCATGCTGAAGTAACATCTCAAAAGACAACGAAGTTGTTGCCGAAAAAGAGAAAAAGGCGGACAGCTGTTTTCAAACGCAAAGCTAAGACAGACAGACAACGCTGGCCGGCCAAAGTTGGCTGCATATTAGGATCTAGTTCCAGCACCAACACGAGGAGTGCGAATGGAACTCTTGCCAGAACACTTCGACCGACGTCACAAGCTAACATAAAGATGACGGACATGCCGAAGATCACACATCACAGACATCTGATGACGGAGACCACGGCTATCACGAAGACCACCGATAACGATTCTGTCGACTCAAAATCGACGAGGGCAGAACCGACGAGGAAGAAGAGACGACGACGAAAGGCGAAGCTACACCAGGAACAGCAACCACCAACCACTACAACTGTTCACCGTATATTCTCTTCTGTCTGTAGCCCCCATAAGTATGTCGAAGTCTATACAAATCTATGCATTTGTTGTATCTTGTGCTTACCAGATTAACTTCTTGCTTGCTCGCCCGGAGTGTTGATGATCTATGAATCAACAACATCTACAATTAATCTAATAGATTACACTCATGAACACAGCTATACCTCAATTTCTAAGTACAAATGCTTTTAGGTCTTGATTGTATTTATTCATTTACATTTGAACAGATTTCGCCTCCTCCCTCCTCCTTGCTCGCCCGGAGTGTTGATGATTTATGTATCATCAACGACAATTCTATTCCTAATAGCTTACGGATATTCCCCATAGGCTATATTCCCTAACCGCTTATATTTAAATGCCGAATCACTTACCAGTGAGTGGCACCTAATTTTCAGGGGCAGCACCAAGCCGCGGCATCCTCTTTCTTGCATGTATTTCCTGGACAGACTGATTGTGCACGGGTCAGCTCCGTCTTACTACCTATATAAGGAGCCCCCGATTGTATTATAGGTTGCTCCGCCCGGTTCAACACCGGGGTTCGTCTCAATAAACAATTCTAACGACTCCACTAGTCAGCGAGACATTGGTTTCCACCATCCAGCTTGCGTTTTTGAAGAGCTTGGACTCCCATGCCATCGTATTAGCTTCAGTACTAATGCTCTCAAAAATCCATAAAAAATTGCAGAAATAAAAATAATGAGAGAATCTCTGAAACATGAGGAAAAATGGAGTTTGAAGTGCGGTGACAGATCCGCCTCCATATTTACTGTACATATATAAACGTGAAGGTGAAAAATGGGGTTAATTGAACAGAATTTTAAGAGCCTGAACACTAAATTTGAAAATCCAAAGCGCTATGAGCTCACTCCTAATAAATGACACTCTAAACGAGCGGGTCTATTCAAACTTTTTTTTTGCCAATTCTGTCTTCTTGAAATGACGTGATCTGAGTGTGAAAACCCAGCTTACTGATAATGAGATTTTTGCGGCATACACGAATTTGGCTCTTCCCAGTTTTACCTTCAAAATTTGTGATACTTTATGATGCAATCAAAATTAGCCTTTCAGATAAACTTCCTCCGAATGCACATGCGTTCGAGTGGCTTCCACAATCGGATCTTTTACACCATTCTAAAACGAAAGCTTTCATAACACATGGAGGGTGCAACAGTTTGCAGGTATGATCGCTCGTAGTTTTTGGGAAAACGACGCACAGTCTCCCGATTCGTGAGAGATCACCGTAGCATGGCCATATCTCGCTTGTGGACGAACTTTCAACCCTAAGAGGTCAAATTCCACGGAACGTTTCAGATTTTTGCTTACGGTAGGCTTTTCAGCGTGCCCATTCCTTGCACTCACTGGGCAACCTCCGTAAGCAAAAATGTGAAAAGATTTGCTGAATCTGGCCTCCTACTGTGTCCAAACAGGCACTTCGATATATCGGAGGATGCGCCTCGCCGAGCTGAGTCGAATGGAGCCTTTGGATTAAGATTACGTCCACTCTGAAGCAAGATATGGCCATGCTACGGTGATGTCATATGAATCGGGCGACTGTGCGTCGTTTTTTTCAAAAATTACAAGTGGTATCGTAATTGCCAAGCTCTTTCGCTGCGCTAATACAAGATTGAATTCAGGAAGCAATATCGGCAGGAGTACCATTAGTAGTTATACCGCTAGGAAATGATCAGCCAAGAAATGCAAGATTAGCCGAGAGACATCACTTTGCTGTGAGGATCAGCAAAAGCGATGTTTGCGCACATAAAGTGGCAGAGGCACTCGGTAAAGTGCTCAATGACCAGAGGTTTGTTCTCGAAACTGCGCTTAGTATCCATCAAGTATGAATATTTCAGTTATGCCAAAAATATCACGCGATTATCGAAAATGTTGGAAAAACAACCAGTGAAACCATCCAAACTGCTTGTTTCTTGGGTCGAGTTTGTAGCCGAATTCAAAACGCTGGAGAATCTGGTACCCGCGGGAACCAAGTTGAACTTCATACAGTACTATTCTCTTGATGTCATTGCATTCCTTTTCAGTATTGCAGCAGTTCTTGTCTTTATTGCGTATAAATTAATGAGGTTAGTTATTAGAATAATTTACTCTGTAGTGTCACAAGTTATAGGCTGTCCGCGCAGGGCGCGGAGAGTGCGCAAGGTGTGTAGTGCGCGTCACTGCTCTTTGCTCGTGCTCTGTCGCCGCGTGTTTTCTCTGTGCTCTGTTTTCTCTGTTTTCTCCTCTACTCATAAACTGTCTTCAATGGACGCAACAGCGTTGCTCACCGAGCGCAGCGCGGACGGTCTATAGAAAGTTTAAGGTGCAATGAAGTTATGTTGTTGGTGTTGTGTTGGTTTCTCGTTTTTTTTTCACATTCCCCTCAACTTTTCTTCCCCACAAATTCGCGTTTTCTGTAGTGATATGGCTTCGGTATTAACTCCACTGAGTACAGTTTGTGTCAATTACGTTTCCCTTTCGCGTAGGAACTACGCAAACGCAACGCGAGGACCTTGCGTGCGGACCCCTATCGAAGAGCCCTCGAATGCGCAAACCGTACGCGCGCGGAAACCGTGCGAAGCCCTGTCGTGTCGGTTGCGCATAGGAAAAGGGAGCACGTGATTGACATAGACTATAAGAGTTTTATTATGTAAATTTTCGTTCTCGTTTTTCGTCCTCTGAAGAGTTGAAGTAATGCTAATTGTGTCCATTTTATTATCTACTATAAAAGTAAATGTTTTAGGTGGGATTTATCTGGTAAGGGGTGGTGAAGCATCGGTACAGGCGCGTTCGACGTGGAGGATTGTATCGGAGGGGGGATTTGGGCAGGAGGGGGTCGTAAAGAACAAAGTTTGTCTAGAAAATTGTAGAAAATGCTACGATCGAGTAGGAAGAGAAAAAGCACTATATATATACTTAATATGTAGAAAATGTAATGCCAGTTCAATAAGCATCCGACAGCGGGAACCGCGACGCGGTCCCGAAGCGCGCGGATGCAAATCTAGCACCTTTGGGATTATTGGTTCACTAGTCTAATATATAAAGAATCGTAACGCCGATTCAAAAACATCAGAAGAAGGAAAACCGCGGCGCGGTCCTGACGCGCAAATGCAAATCAGCAGATTCTGTACTTGATTTTTTTGCTTACCTGGAGTAATTTGAGGCGCTGATCCGAAAATCCATCTTGAAGAGCGCGAAAATGGCAAAAACCACCATTTTCCAAGGCCTCCAATCTTGAATTTGGACGAGTGGAGCGCGTCCAACCATGGTTAGAGGCAGAGCCGTTGCGGGGCCCTCGCAGTTATAACACTGCGGCATGCCTTCTCTGACGGGTCAGGAAAAATCGCAAGCTCGTCCGCGCGTATTAGAATGGCTTGCGCGTAACGGTTTTCTAGGCGAGAGCAGCATGCTGTGGGGTGCGTAGCAAGTGGTAACCAGGCAGCCGACTGCTGCCGCAGCCAGCCGCCAGAACTGCGGCAAAGCCGCTGCAGATGGTATAGTGATTATGCTCGTCGTCTAAAACTCTTGGCGAGAGGTCTTCTCGCATCTCGTCGCTCTGCGGTGCGATATCAGCCTAAGGAAAGCCTAATATCCTCTATATCTATATTATTTTTAACAGCAGAAAATTCATGTTTTTTGAAAACATGCAAATAAACAAAGATAAAGGGGAGAGGTTTCTTAAAAGAAAATTTAACAAATACAATTCAGATTCAAATTTAAAAGAAAATGGTCACGAATTCAAATCACTTCGCTAAATAAGGCAAAGTGAGTCAATCAAAATGAGTAGGTCAATGATAAAAGATGACAACATGCCTCACCTGCTGATATAAAAGGGAAACTCATCAAGAAGCATATACTATTTTGATCTAGACAGTTTACTTCTCCAGGTATTTTGAGAGAAAAAATAATAATGAAAAAAATTCGAGATTCACAAACTGCAAAAATAAAAGTTTAAAATTCAAAGAACCACCTCTGAAAATCCTTCGACAAACCGCATTCGAATTCTAAAGTGTTCATAGGAAAGTGAATTTGATTTATAAGAATACTTCATTGGGAAATCAAGGATCCTTACAACTACAGCGTCATTGAATTTTTTTGGTACTTTGATTTCAACATTTGTAACAGAAAAAAGTGTTTGACTTCCTATTCATTCACATTTGTAATTGTTTGTGAATTTTTCGATGTAGTTTTGTATTCGACTGTATGGTTCTTAATGAAATATGGCTTTTCTCTGTGTTCAAAATGATGTAGACATTGAGGAAATCACGCTATCATTGACCTACTCAGTTTGATTGACCTATCATACTTTGCCTTATTTAGCTCGCTTAACATCACTATGTATGGAATAACTATTTCGACACAGTTTTCTTACCATTATATCCATGACATTTTCCCGTAATTGTTCTCGTCCATTCTTCGACATAAAAGTGAAAAAATCAAAAATTCCCAATTTTTTCAGCTTCTTTCTTTGAGTCTTTGAAATGATTTGATTTTGTGATCATTTTCCTCTAGGAAAACCCTCCTCTATTCACCTTTGTTTATTTGCATGTTTTTCAAAAAACATGAAATTTCTGCTGTTCAAAATGATATCGAGGATATCACGCTTTTCTGAGGCTGATTTCGCACCTCAGAGACGAGGTGCGAGGAAACCTCTCGGCAAGGGTTTTAGACGACGAGCATAATTACTGTACCATTTGCAGCGGCTTTGCCGGCAGCTCTCGCAGCTGACTGCGGCAGCAGTCGGCTGCCTGGGTACCACTTGCACGCCTCCCCATGCCATGCTGTGCGCTCGGACCTGCTCTGTTCTCATGTTTGGGTGGGTGCGTGGCGTTAGGTACCCAGCCGAGGTGCGGGCGTTAGGTACCCAGCCATAAGCGGTATACACTAAGCCACGCCCCTCAGTTGCTTCAACAGCGGGTATCTAACGATACACCAAATCCTAGCTGCTAGAACAGCTCACCTAGCTCGCTGAAGCGCTGGCGCTCGCGACTCACAGAAAAATGATAGTTCGAAAAAATCAAAAAAGTTGCGCGAATAAAAGCACAAGTTTACAACACTTTTTCTAACGCTCCTTTTTTGAATCCATTTCAGAACCACAGAAAATCGGTACTGAAAATTAAAAACAGGGTAAACTTTTTATGAGCACTCCACATGATTTTGCAAAAAAAATCGTGATGATCTGAACTGGTAATGTTAGCGGAAATTTCAAAAAAGTAAACTTTGTAGGATAGCAATAAATAAAAATTTATAATTTTAATGAAACAAAGCGCACTTTCGAATGCGCTCCTGGCAAATAAGTTGCACGATATATCCCCTTCACATATTGTCGTCAGGCTCGTTTTGAGGCGTGAAGTCAAGGGTCGTAGTACTTGCGTTAAGACTGCCACAGGGATTGTGCTACGTTATCGTAGATTATCAGGACTATTACTTCGGTCATAGTTAAGGCCAACAGATTTATGGGACATTACAATGATAAGCATACATTTTTCTTTATTTCGGAAGATTTCACATCCCGTATTAAAATTCCACTGAGCTACTATATTTTATCATACCTTTGCGCTCTGCAGTGCTTCTTTGAAGGACCTTCATATTGCAACTGTTTCATATTCAATCTCCTTTCTAGCAGCCAAAATATGCTCAGTTTATCCAACCAAAGCTATAAATTTTTTGTAACTCACTAAAAAGCGGAAAGTTTTGTCAATAATTGTTCTCAGTAGAGTTACTGCTTTTCCTGTTTCATTCTATAGCACACACTCATCCGAAATTGGCTAGCTCTGTAACTGTAATGTAAAATTTTCATTGATTGGAACAGAGCCCTTCCCATATTAATGAATGACATAGTCCTCCATAAAATTCCGATTTCTGATGACAAGTTCTCGTTGAATCTCTTCTTGCGATCGGTTCCATTTCTCATTGTTAAAAATGTTTTTTTTTTCGAAACAAAAGAATACTCCGTGCACTTATTTGCCAGGAGCGCATCCGAAGTGCGCTTTGCTTCAGTAGAATCATAAACTGATTTTTTGGTATTCTACAAAGTTTACTTTTATGAAACCCGCTAACATTTTCGGCTCAGATCATCAAGATTTTTTTTTGCAAAACTTTGTGAAGTGCTCATAAAAATACCCTGTTCCGAATAAAATGGACTGGAAAAAAGCAATAGAAAAAGCGTTGTAAACTTGCGCTTTCACTCGCGTTTTTCTTTTATTTTCTCAACTATCATTTTTCTCTGGGTCGCGAGCGCCAGCGCTTTAGCGAGCTATGTGAGCTGTTCTAGCAGCTAGGATTTGGTGTATCGTTAGGTACCCGCTGTTGAAGCAACCAAGGGGCGTGGCTAAGTGTTTACCACTAATGGCTGGGTACCTAACGCCCGCACCTCGGCTGGGTACCTAACGCCCGCCCTCCTGTTTGGGTCGCATGCAACCTTCCATGTCAAGATTCCAAGATGTTCGGTTTTGGCGAGCTGCTGCCTTCAAGGAACATCGACCTCTTACCGTACATCTACCGTAACCGGAAGCACACAGAACTATAAACACTTACCCAAACTAAAAACTATGGCTTGAAGTTTTTCTTTGCTGTTCGGAGAAATCTTTGAGGAATTTATACGACTATACACTAAAATCCGCAGAAACCCCATTAACAAAACACTCAGCAATCTTACACCTCCCTCGACTGCATTCTCTAACCCTGTGTCATCTGTATAGCAGAAATGATTGCCTGTTTTCCCTCTGTTTGTATTCATGATTATCTGGCCAAGTTGTTGCCTCAGAGTCGAAAATACCAGTTTTTTTGACAACACCATGACACAGTGCACGTGAGAGACTGGCCTTGACTTGTGGCAAATCTCTGAGGTGGGCATTTCGTCACCTCTGAAGTGTACTTTAAACAAAAAAGTAATGCAAGCTTGACTTGACATCAAAGCGCTTCTGTCAACAATCAACTCGGCATTGAGATGGTGAGAGGAATGCTCAGAAGATTGGAAATAAGCCAATCAGTATCAGCAAAACAATCAATGAGGTCCCACGTTAGACTCACACAATATTCTGTAAATACACATAAACAAGCAACTTACCGTAAGATTGAGATACTTACGAGTGGAATGCTCATAATTCACTTGCGAGGACCGAAGCAGATGACAAAGGACGAAGGCAGCGCATCTCTCGGTATATACTAAAAGATCCATAGCGCTCAGAAATTCAACTTCAGGCTCAGATCAAACCTTCGTGAAAATATCATTCCAGCGCCTTCAGTACGGTATAAATATGGAGCTCAAATTTCAGCCAAGTGGGTCACATGAGTTGTCGTTTTTCGTGAAGATTTTGACGAAGAGATTAAAGCATTTTTCACGCGAAGAAAAAACAGGTGCTTTGCTTGGACATTGATGACTTTGAGTTCTTCTTCCGAAAGAGATTTTTTTGGATAGAGAGCCTTTTGGAAAGGTCTTTGTGATGCTAGTGAGGTACAGACTTCTGCCTTATGCCCACTAATGCTCGTGAGCAGTGTGGGAACCTAAGCTTTACCTCAATATTCTTCGTAAAAAATATCCGATTTCTACATATCCTTTGTTGTGACCGAAGAAATAGCATGGATTTTGAAGAGATGCACAAACACATTATTTCACGATGTCGAACTGGTTCCGCACGCAGCTCATGCTGCTAGATGACATGTGCCCATGCCCACCCGGTAAATCGGCTATAAAAGCGGTCGACGAGGTTAGTCGGGAGTGCCAGCAGTTTTCTGCACAAACATGAGGTACTTTGTACTTCTCTACACTGTCCTATTGGTCACGCTGATTTCCACAATTCCCACAGCTTTTGCCAGGTATATTCAATCTATTTTTTTGATTCTGTGAAAAGCATTACATGGCTTGTACATTGAAGTAAAGTGCGGTTCATAATTATACGAACAGTCCAGATTTTGAAGGTTCTCGAACTTTCTGGAAGAAACTCAAGAAGCCGTTGGTACCACGCGATAGAGCACAGCCGAAAACGGTATATGATCCATAAGAATGGAAATCGATTCAATTCTAGGAGTGTTTTTGCGCCTAACAAGAATTTTGAGCGGTTCATAATTATACGAACACCTCAAACAAAGGTCCATTTTTCATTCAAGATTGCAATCTTTCGAGTCCAAATTTTTTGTAGAGTTACAGTAACAAGGTCTGAAACATCCGCGACACATTGAACCCAGTGCAGTGTAAAAAGAGGATCCTTACTTTTTTCCAGATGGCTCTAAACGCTTTCGGAGTGATTGCGCTCCAAAAACATCCATTCTTCTGTAGTTCACGCACTCTAATTAGCTTCTGCCAAGGTTATGAGATAAAATAAGCTCCTTCGATAGGTACTTTGTTTTTCGCTTGGAGAATCTTTGCGTTTCCGTGCAGTTTTGCAACCAAGTTTCAAACTTACCCTAGAGTTAGCACGATTTCAAACCTCTAAACTCAGCTTCTGAAGCCCTACAATGAAGTAAGCTTATAGTATGTAGAAGCTCACAAGACAATGTATTTGGCTAGAAAAAATCAGCAGCGTTGAGCGTTTGTTTCGGCCACGCAGACATCATTTCACTAAAACCACTGTTTTTACTATTGCAGTTACGTCTTTATTTGGTTTGTAGCTCCACAGCCTCAAGATTAGTTCTACAAAAAACCCAAAAACTTTGACATGGATACATCAACATGCAAACAATGCAGCTGCTTCATATCAAGTGTTTGCGCCGGAGAAAAGCTGAGTTTTGAGGCTCGAAATCGTGCCAACTTTAGGGTGAGGTTGGAACTTGGTTGAAAAGCGGCACGAAAAACGCATAGATTTTCCAAGCGTCAAACAAAATACCTATCGAAGTAGCTTATTTTATCTCATAGCCTTGGTGGAAGCTAATTAGAGTGCGTGAACTACAGAAGAACGGATGTTTTTGGAGCGCAATCACTCCAAAAGCATTTAGAGCAATTAAAAGAAAGTAAAGATCCTCTTTTTGAACTGCACTGGGTTTAGTGTGTAGCAGATATGTCAGACTTTGTTACTGTAACTCTACAAAAAATTTGGACTCGAAAGATTGCAATCTTGAATGAAAAATGGACCTTTGTTTGAGGTGTTCGTATAATTATGAACCGCTCAAAATTCGCATTAGGCGCAAAAACACTCCTAAGATTGACATCGATTTTCATTCTTATGGATCATATACCGTTTTCGGCTGTGCTCTATCGCGTGGTACCAACGGCGTTTTGAGTTTCTTCCAAAAAGTCCAAAAACTTTCAAAATTCAAGGTGTTCGTATAATTATGAACCGCACTTTACTAGGCTGTTGCATAAGTTCTGTCCGATTTGAATTTTTGAGTTTAAAATGTCATAACTTCTTTCAGAGTCAACTTTTTTCCAAGGTCTTAGTTTCTATGTGTTGAGCAGTCCCTTGGCTAAAAAATGTATATTGAGATCTGCGCAAATCTTTGTTAAGGAAGAACCAAGAATGCAAAAACTTCGCAGCGTTTTTCTTCGAATCTGTCTTTTTTGACATGGTAACGCTCCCTTATGAAAATTGATAGGCATCTTTTTTAATAATGGATGGATAGAGAAATTTTCGTAGATTATTACGCAACATAAAAGAGCCCATAGGGTTTGCGCTGCCGAGAGATTTTCTTGACCGAACAAAAAATTAGCCACTTTTTGACCTCGCTTCAGCACATGTGTGCATGCCTATTTATGAACTACGAACGTTTTACAACTGACGTGAGCGCCGAAAAGGAATTGGTGGATGGGCCCTGTTAGCTCTTGCTTTGCCCTAGCACCTCCAACTTTGAGCTTGTCGATTACTTCTATTCACAGAAAGTTATTGCTTGTAAAACATCTATACCAAAGATTTATGTTCGAGGATAAATTTCACTAGCAAGACGTATTCTTCATGGGACCGAACTTCTGCATATACTAGCATTCCATACCCTTATTCCGAAGCCAATGAAAGAACCTGACTTGAAGGGCGCATTGTGGAGATATCCTCGCAAGGACATATTTCTAGGGATAGAACGTACCTCGGCCACTTAGAGATTTTAGGCCTGTGATCTCCGTACACTAAGAATTTTATTGAATTCTGGTATGCTTTAGAAAGCGCAAGGAAAGCACTTTTCAATGATACCAACCGTATCGAATTAGAGATGAAATTCTCTTAGAACAGCTGCTTCAAACATGAGGCAAAAAAATCGGACAGAACTTATGCAACAGCCTAGTACATACAAGCTCATTATTCCATCACCATCACTGAACCACAGATCTCTTACCTTCCTTTTCTAGATTAAGCGCTCTGTTCATTAGACTTATAGAGCTATATTTTAGGTGCGAAACATATTGGGTCCTTCCATAAGTTCGTAGTGTTTTTATGAACCAATAAAATCGTCAATTTACAGTATCAGTTGAAATTACATTCCCCTTTGTAGCGCCCGACCTTTTGACACATTCTTGTTAGCTTCTCAATCTTAATTTTTCAAACGGCAGCGCGCCGCGTCTCAAGAAAGTCATCTCACCAAGGCTCAAACACCATATGAGGTTTGTTAGAGAGCGGGGCAAATGATAATCTCATAGAGCGAGATTTGGAGGGTAAGTTGGGTACTGAAGTACCTTCCACTCAAATCGTGCAGTTTTGACGACGTTTGCCGTATGAAGCCATGTTTCGTATTGTAGAAGAACTCACTGGATCTGTCTGTTAGGCTTTTTCTGCGGTAGGACCTGGTTTATACGGTGCAGTTGGATTGCTTACGGTATGGTTGACCATCGCCAACTTGCAAAGGAATTCTCAGTGCAGGACGTCCTGCTCGTCCCTAGAAAAGTCTTGTTTAGGAAACCTGCTCAGCCCCTGGTCTTTGTAACAATCCAATCCTTTTTTGTCTCATATTGATGTGCGAGGGCCATGTTCCATAATCGTAATCGACAGAAAAATCTCTGCAAAAGTGCTTCTTTTCATTGAAAAAAAAATGCGTAATTGTCGAAATGCTCCTTTTTGTCTTTCAAGATTTCCATCTTTGGAAGCACTAAGATCCGAGTGAGCCAGCTTTCTGCCGGAATCAGTGGGCCTATTTCAAAGAGCATAATCAGCCCTTCCAAAAAATATACGCGCCTTGCCGTAAATCAACCGCTCCTCAAAGATATGAGTTCGAAAATGCAAACGCTACGAACTTATGGAACGACCTAATAATTCCAGTAGAAAGATCTTGAGACTACATACTTGAGAATACTTGAGAAAAAAATACATTTTACTCACTGCTCAGGGGCCTAATCTCTATTTATTGTGCATAATATATGTCAAATATTATTACACGTAGAGAAAAATTTTTGTGAACAAATTCTACAAAACTTAGAAAAGCTGAGGTACGAATTTATTCCTGCTAGAAAGTAGGCCAAAGCCCATGTAAAAATTTCCAAAAGTTGGGCACCTTTTGAACTCTAAGCAAGCAAAATTCAAAAAATTCACAAGTAAAGAACAATAATTGTTGCAGAAAGCATCGTTAAGCGCGTGATTTCTTCGCTCCACTCTACCAAAAGTTTGGTTCTGAAAAATTAAAGTTTTTGAAAATTGTAGTGCGAGACTTATGTTTCGGGCAAATACATCGATTAGAAGCAATGTGGGTAAAAGAAGAGATTAAATTTTCAGGAAATAAACAAAAGGTCATTTCGATTTTTCTAGCCCTAAGGCAAGAAAGTTTCATCGTAATGAGAAAGCGTGTTTCGTGATTCTAAATCTATCAAGCACAATTGTTTTGCTCCAGGCTAAAGTTCTTTTTGCCTCATTGTTGACTTTACATTCTTCATAGAACATGAAAATAGCCTTCTCGCAAGCGAACATGACTCCAGTAAGTCAGCGACCTTGATTTCTCTTCCAAAAATGATGCTAAAGAAGCTTATGTATTCGTCGAATGCTTTTTTGAGCGGTGAACTCGGAGCGTGCGCGATTATGGTCTTTGTTGCAATCCAAAACCACAAATCGCTGTCGAACATTATTCATGTATTGGGGGAAAATAAAATCGCTTTCCAGTCAAAATGGAAATCATGCATCATTACAGAAACATAAATGCTCCAGATGCTAGGGACGATTGAGCATATATTTGAGGGGAGGAGTGGACTTGTTTTGAGTTCGCCTTCTGCTTTTGACTTTGAGAAATTGATTATCAAGTTCAATTTAGTGTATAGTCAATTCGGATATATCAGTGTGTAATATACTCCAGTCCGTCAGTCAATCCAATTCAGGGCGTCCCAAAAGATATTCTTTTTGATTGTTATTAAATCTCTTGTAATGAATTTTTCGAGAAGCATTAGCTAAAATTTTGTAGAGCTGGATTCGACTAGCTAGATTTACAGTATGATGCGAATCAAAAACCCCTCCCTCTTCATCACTGTAGGATTACGGTAGGAAGTTTAAGGAGAGTTGCGTAAATAAGGGCATATTTCACCCCTAAAACAGAAATAAAGAGCCCGAAAGCTTCTACTCTGGGTTAATCACAGTGGCTGATTTCAAACATGAAACTCGCACTTAACCATAACGCTTTTTTCATAAATGATGCCAGATATACCACAGAACCAATCTGCTGTTTATCAAAAATCTGACTAGGCGTCTAAAAAGCTTAAAGGCAGCGTACACTCAAAATCTAAGTTACCGAATTTCCTAGATCTTTCTATACCGTGTGTATACTGGGCCCAGAAGAAGACCAACTGCGTTGGTCCGGTCTCCCAATGTTGCTTCTGAGCGGAGAAAACCCCCCTCAATTTTCTTTTACTCCGCCCCTTTCCTTTCACTCCGCCTCCTCCGGACGCCACGACAGCGTAAGCTTCAGTTGCCGTTGCAGTTGTTGCTGCAATGCTGTTGCATCTGCAACTGCAGTTGCAACAGTGCAGTTGCTTTTTGCGGTGCGCCTCCTTCGGGCGACGAATCACGACAGCATATGCAGCAGTTGCAGTTGCAACTGCAGGCTGTCATGCTGTTGCAGCTGCTGGCATGCCGACGGGGACGAGCAGTTCGAAACTCGCCCGCCTCTGAAAAGAGGGTCCCTGGAAATCGGGGTTTTTTGGGACTTTTGGTGAATTTCAACGATATAACTGTAATCAGCGGCACGGAAAGGCCCCAGAATGACAAAAACATCGAAGGTGGAATTTTGGGTGTACGCTGCCTTTAACAAAAGCAACTCCGCGTGCTGAAGTTAACATGCATGACAATCTTGTTACACAACTTTCGAACTTTTCTTTTTTTTGGTAGTTTTTTTCAAACGTCCTTTTCACAGTATATACTGCAAGTTTCTCCGTGCTCCTACAGTAATTAAGAGAGATTCTTAATTCGCTCTATACTGCAAATCTAAGTTCAAACCAGCTTCACAAAACGGTACCTAAACCTTCTTGAAAAACTTCATTACAAGAGAGTTACTAACAATCAAACAGTAGGCACATCTTTTTGAGACACCTGTATGTCAAGTAAATTTGATCCTCAAATCAAAAGTTCGAAAGAAGGTTTTTCTGTTTACAGTAAAAGTTTCTGGATATATCCACCGTAATTCTCGCAATGGTTTTTTGGCGTAACCATTTTCGCTGCATTTAGCAATGACCTTCTCTATAGATTTACAAACCGCACAGGAGATTGTTGACCGATCATTTTTGATTTCCAAACCAGCTCGAGCGAAAATTTGTGCAATACAAGTTTCGCAAAGACTCTGATTTCGACTGCTTCGATTAAGCAATTTTCTTCTTTCGTGCTTGTTCTACCGAAAAACAAGTGAGTGCCTCTTAATTGCACAAAGTCCCCTGTAGCCACTTTTTACCGGAAACAAAGAGGCAATGTTCCCTTACAAGTTGATGAACTTAGTTTTCGCCCGAACCGCGTTGACGTTTTTCGGAGTTGCTCCATTAGCAGGCAAAAGTCGAGAGCAATCTATGGTCACGAAAACACAGAGTGGGTCTCTTGCTTCGAAAACATGAACAATAATGATTTATGCGAATTTAATGTAAAACACTCTGTGATCCCTAACGTGTGTTCTGTGGTACAGATAAGCATCCCATCATCATGTTTCGGCCTTCATTTATATCTGTTGACTTCAAGCAAAGACGGAACTTAAAGCCTCTGACCTCTCTTACCTTTCTCAATTATCGTTTCGTTTTTCCTATACTCAGCCTTTTCCAGTATCCATTCAAAAAAGCTATAACCATTACAACTTGTGTGTTTTTCATGCGTTTGTACCCACTGCTTTTGCGCAAATTCCAATCATGTTGCATCACTAACAAATCAAAATATTAATAATCGTAATAAGTCGTTACGGGGATGCTCACAAAGGAAAAGAGGTACAATATACCGCTCGTAATTCATGAAAAAAGACGCACGGTCGCCCGACTCAGGTGACATCACCTTAGCGTGGCTATTTCTCGCTTCAGAATAGACAAATTCTTTATCCGAGGCACCATTCGACTCAGCTCGGCGCGGCGCATCTTTTAGTATATACTAGGCTGTTTCAAAAGTTCAGTCCGATTTTGAACTGCCGTGTTTCAACGCAGCTATTTTCTTGGGGTTTTGCACTTATGGCATTGTCATAACCATCATCTAGAAGTATTTTTCCTGCTCTTTCTAGCGCTTACTGATGTTTGGCAAACCAACTTTCCAGTGATGAATTTTCGAGCCCCGATGCAAAGGTGCCGAAATGCAGTCACGCCCAAAAAAAGTTTCCATGAAGAGAACTTCCGCAGTATTTGTAAAACTAAATATGTGATTATCTATAATGGCTGAGGGTTTAATGGGCTAAAAAGCACACTTTTCCTTCGACGTAGAGAATGTCTTTTTTCCAATTTTTTTTCAAAAATGGAAGACAAACCCAATTATTCAACAAACGACAACTATCTATATATAGCGACAGGTGATGCATTCAATATTGCATAAGTTAGAGTCAAGCGAGGGCAAGCAGAAACCGTCGGCCATTTGGCTTTTTTCGTTTGCGACAGCAAGAAAAAATCAAATATTAGAAAGTCGGCATACTTTCGCACGCGGAGGAAGGCTCAAACAATGGTTTTTTTTTATTTGCTCGCAAAATTTCTATGCAGCACAGATAATTGGAATTCTCTTTAGCCGCAAAAGAAACTCTGAAATATAGGCTACTTAGTGATGATAGCCAAATATGTCGGTCCATTCTCATATGAAAGCATTAATAAGTCAAAATGGACGGTTCTCAAAAAACCGTGCAAAAATTTTCTCTTCTCTCTCGCTTGCCTTCCTTACATGACATGCAGTGCTCATGATAGCCATGAACTCGCTTAATTCAACAAAATTTAATTTGTTCAGAATTGTTGATTCTGAAGAAAGTTATAAGATTTTGAATGAAAAAATCGCAAATCGGACAGAACTTTTGAAACAGCCTAGTAGAAGTCGCACTTGGACACATAGGAGACCACTTTCCACGAAGTGTTTCAGATTTTTGCTTACGGTAGGTTGCACAGTGAGGGCAAAGAATAAGCACACTAAATAATCTACGGTAAGCAAAAATGTGAAACGATTCGTGGAATCTAACCTCCTACTGTGTTTAAGTGGACACTTCTATATGTCAGAAGATGTGCCGCGCCGAGTTGAGTCGAAAGGTGCCCTTGGATCAAGAATTTGTCCACTGTGAAAAGAGATATGGCTACGCTATGTGATGTCACATGAATCGGTAACTATGCGTCTTTTTTCACAATTTTCGAGCGATATTATATATGATAGTTTTGATAGAAAGATCCTTGGAAATTTTTTGAAATGTGTCCTGCAAAAATCCGTCAACACATGCTTAACCTTTGATTCAATTGGATTGGCGGCTAGAAGTAGCGGCTTCGTGACCTAGTCAAAGCTAGAGAATGATAAGAAACCACGTGAGCGAGTGAGACCCAACTGCGTTGCGGGTGCGAGCGGCTCTAATTGGGTCACAAAGCCCCGCCTTCCAGCCGCCAGCACAGTTAAATCAAAGATTACTTCGGCACGGAAAGTTTATGATAAGTCATTAAAGAAGACTTCGCTTGCAGTTTACTAGAGCTTTAAGAAATTGTCAGAAGAAGACATAAGTGGATTTACGTTAGCTTATTGAAATAGGCAGCAATTCAGGCTAATGGTATGCTACTACTGTAACCCAATCATGAGTAATCACCAAGCAAATTGGATGTTGATTCATTAGTACTTGTCGCCTACCATCTGTATCTATTGAATCAACTGGATTGGCCTCTGGAAGGCGGGGCTTCGTGACCTGATTGAGTCTAGAGAATGATCAGAGAGCATTTCGCGACGGAGACGCAGACACAAGGGCGCGAGCGGTCGCCTTCCAGCCGCCAAACTCGTTGAATCAAAGGGTAAATCATAATCCTACCATAGTACAAGAATATGTGCCGCATAATAAGAAGATAGCATATTATTGTTATTCTGCCATGCTAATTCATCAAAAAAAAATTAGAGTACATTTATTTATCGCAATTATCACATCAAGGCATATAAAGTTTCATTGCATACAAAAGTGAATCCGAAGTTGAGGATCTTCACCGTAACTAATTGTGGACTCCAGTGACCTAAAAATATAGTATTATTGAATACTGAGGATTGTCTCAAAGGCTATAATTTCAGTGTTCGAGTGAAACGTCAGTACTACGGAATGTACGGTATGTATCCGTACGGAGGCGGTATGTACAACCCTTACACCTTCAACTATCCCCTATATGGATATCAATATCGGAACGGTCTTGGTGGTTTCGGCTATGGTATGAATGGCATGTACGGTATGAATGGCATGTATGGTTTGGGTGGCTTGGGTTACGGTGGCCTTGGTGGACTTGGTTACGGAATGTATGGAAAGTAAAGGAAGTTTTGGTAGATCTTGTATTTTTACACTTTCGTTTTTTCTTTGACATGAAGCATTTACTGTGTACTCAAATGGAATAAAAGTTTATAACAGTAGTTGCTCACTTGTCTTTAAAGCAAAGCTGTTGTGTTTTGTGCACAGCACAGAAATGACGGTGTCGTTGATGATGGTAGACATGTGTATCCAAATGGGCATCTACAATAGGAGATTATGAAGAAATTGAAAATTTACAAAATGGTGAAAATTTTCTGGAGTTCTTCATCATTTACTGCAATACCACTTGGATTGACTAATGCCCGTCATGAAAAGTCATCATCGCCGATAATTTAAATTAGGATAAAGGCGAACCAGAAGAAAACCTTCTCAGCAGAATGTATCAAAAATTTGGAAACATGAAAGTCATTTTACTGAAAATGAGTATTTTGTAAAATTACTTAAGGGAAATTATATAAGTACGCCTTTCAAAGCTCCTCCAACTGCCACATCTACCCCAAGCATATTAACAATAAAGTAAACATACGAGAAATCTAGAAATCCAACACATTTCCTAATTTCGTCCGTGGTTTCTGCACGGGCCTCTCGAAAGGCGAACGGACATTTTGGAATAGGCTGCTCAGTTGTTGTCGTTACCTTTTCCAAGCAACCTATAATATAAGTTTTACTCTGCGAGTGTTCCCAACCAGATTTTCTTGATTACCTCTGCAAGAAATTTCTGTCTTTCTTCCTGTGATTGATGGAGAGGAAATGGTTGTGGTCTCTTTTTCGACATTGGTCTCCTCTTCAACTTCTACAACTTCCACGTCCAATGGACAGCAGAAAAGACCACCTATGCCGACTTGGCAAGTATATCCAGCCTGTAAACAAGCAAACGTTGCTAATGTAAAAAAAATAGATAGAAAAGAGAAAGAAAAGACGACGGACTCTTGGACATGGTGCTCCAAGCTGTGGACATCGCAAATACTCCCCGTCAATGAGCAATGGAAGAACATCTTCTCCACATCGAAGCCTTTGCCCACTACTGGGAAACGTGGTCCTGAGCAAAATACGTTGATTTTATCTGGGGAAGGGAGGGGGGGGGTCAAATTATTCAATTTTGCTGAGACAGTCTACAATCCAGTCATTTTTAACCATAAAGATGTGATTAGATATTGTACACGCTGTGCTAGGAACTCGCGGGCGGACCGAACTGGACACTGCTAATAAAACAGACAATGTGCGGGCAAGCATTGCGGCAGTAGCACTAGCCAGCAGATGCGTAAACTGCTATCAAGAAATAAAAATAGTAAGACATACGTTGTTTCAACCAGAGGCGCATATGTTGTAAATGCAGAGGTTGGTAGAGGTCGCTTCGATAGTTTGACTGCTTTGATTAAGCTCATGAAATCTTTCTTCGAAGAAGAAATCTGACAGCAGATGTAATCATCTCGCTTTTCATTCTCCATGCATTCGTATCCTTCATCACATGTGGACGCTATCGGAGAGCAAGAAGATCCGCTGAAAATTTCTCGTTGTGTAAGTACATGAGACAAAAAAAACTCATTTTACCGAGTAATAGTCTTCCCTCACTCAGACTGCAACATTCAATTGCAATTGCATTAAAATTCAAAACTTCATACAGTGGAATTTTAAACATGATGGTATCGATACGAATTGAGTCGCTAAACGAGAAAAAACGTTCTAAACTCTTTTCTCCTGAATTGGAAGCCAAAATTCGCCAAATCACTCCAATTTGTGCTGCAACATCTCCACTAAGTTTTCAGCAGTGTGTGCATCTGCGTTCTTCTATCATAACCAAACTGTTTATAGCTTAACTACCCCCAGTCTGTTTTGTTTAAAATCTGTGTGATTTGAATTCTCTGTGCCTTAATTCCAAGATTAAATAATCTTTAAGACATTCATTTTAAATTTGTTGTGAAATGCTAATGAATTCTACCTAATTACACAATCTCGATAAAGGGGCAATTCAGTGTAACTCTCATGTAAGTAAAACGCAATTCAACACGCTTTTCAATGCACCACATGCCAAGCATTGAGTTTTTTCTTAATCTCATTCAGGCATTGTTCCTCCAAAATAATCATCTCAAACTTTTACATGGCCAATCATAACATGTATTCATTATTTGAAATATCTGCTCTTTCTTTTCTACTGCCTAAGGCCCCGGACAGACTTCACGCGATTTGTCGTCGCGATCTAATCGCCGAGATTTCCATTCATTTTCATTTTGCATTCAAAAATTCCGGGCTGGAAAAGTATCACAACCGAAATGCATGTTGATCGGCACGGAATGATGTTGTAACAGTTGTCTTGTCGCGATTCAGTCGCGACGATCAAATCGCGTGAAGTCTGCCCGGGGCCTAAAGTAAGTGAAGCATGTTGGCTGCACATGCGTTCAACTACATCTACGCCATGGAGGACAGGCAACCACGCAGACGAGGTAACCCCGTGAGCGCTCGGCCTGGCACATGCCGGCGACATCGCCACGGGGGGTTTCCGATATTGTCGGCCCCTAGGTTAAGATCTGGTTGGTTGTACTCACCCCATTGTGTTTGAGTTTAGGGATTAGTTGTGGATAAATGGTGGGCATTTTACACGTGTGATTTGTTTTGATGCGGTGAGCCACAGCTCGGCTGTGGCTCCGGGGATATTGTGTCATCGTATTGTGTGTATTTTATAATCGTGCCTAGTGTGAAAGATCCGTAAGAAGGCTGGCACGACCCCGGGGAGTGCCGTGGTTATAAATACATGCCCCAACTGTCGGTAGTTGGGAGATGAGTCGGATCGCAGGTGTCAAGTAACTGCTAAGCAGGCTGGTGGCAAGGGCCTCTACGTGTTTCTGGAGTGTCCCTGTGGCAGGCGCACATATAGCATTTTACACAGGTAGCCACCTCACATGATACGCTTCACTTATCACGGAGCGGACCCCTGGCTCCCCTCGCCGATGCAGGAGAGCCGTTGTACCACTGACGTTGGGAGCTGCTCAGATAACCGCCGGCGGCCATGCGAATCTTGAGCAAGCGCGCACCGGAAAAATAGATCGTTGTTTTTTTGCGGCCCGCTTGCAGAAATTTGGAAGAAAGTTGGCGAAATTAAAGACGAATGCTTGAAGAACAATCGCGGTTTCTTTATGGATTAGCTGCTTTCCGCGAGAATATGCAAAAATTTCGAGGGCCGCACGGTCCTTTGTGAAGGACCGCGCAACCCCCAGGTACTTTCCGCTGAGAGAAAGTACCTCAAACTTGAGTAATTAAACCAACGGTGACACCTCTGCCACACAGAGTCTTACCTGCGCTCGACGTACGCCCGAAAATGCCTAAAAAGAGTCTGAGCGCTTGCTGAAAGTTTGGCCAGCGCTCGCTGAAAGAAATTTTTTGCCGAGCGCTTGCAAAAAATGCTGTATTGCTGCCCGCTGGCAGAATATGCGACCGTGAAGGAAATGCCGCCCGCTGAAGGTTTGGCCACGCCCCAAAATTCTGCTGACCGCCTGCAGAAAAGCGCGAGTTTGCGGACCGCCTGCCCCCGGCGATTATCTGAGTGGGGGCCCAATCCGCGACAGGCAGGCTAATACTAGCTTTCAAGCAATTTCTTCAGTGTTGGAAAACTTCTTGCAGTTGAGTGATCGTTGGGATCATTTTTTGGCACAAACTATGACCTTTTATACTGTAAGCAAATGCTTCAAACGCACCTCTTTCTACCATCCGGGCATCTACTTGGCACAGTGGGACAGCACCATCGTTGTCCCAGAATCACCTCACATTTCTCATCCCGACGACACCCGGCTGCGCAGACTGCTCGCGCTCGTTGTCCGTTGGAACAATCTGCTAACGAGCAACATACACGACTGCCAGATGGTGCAAGCGAGCATTCATATCTGTAGAGCAATTTTCTGCTAATTTCAATGATACTAAATCACTACCCTTCGCTGCATGGAAATTTCGAGCAGTCCCTGGCTAACAAACCATCGAGCTCAACGCTGCTTCCGGGCCCGCAGAAGGCGCTCGAAGAATGGCAGCAGACGCTTATGTCGGAGGAGCGAAATGGTGTGCAGACACTGAAAGAACTTCCATGACTGAATAGCAGTATTCATTCAGAGCTTACCCGTTTTGGCATTCCGAACAAAGACGAAGATGGTGGCGATCATTGCTTATTACTGGATGACTTGCTGTAAGTACTTATGTGAATTTTGAATGGGCATCAACTACATATTCTTCTGGCGTTCTTCTGTTTTGCTATCTGCCTCTGTTTGATTTATGATTTTTAGATAGGAGCTTTTTGCAGTAATTCAGATCACATCGCTTCCATAACAACCAGTGAGCTTACTGTATAAGGTTAAATAACTTTTAGCAAGCTTTTTGAGAAATGCGAAAAATTTACGTCGTTTTTCTATGCACTCCGATTACGACGTTACGGATGTACACCCCTGTACGCACAAGTTAGATCTGGGTTTTACTGCCTCAGAGGGGGAGAACCCCAAATATGCACAAGTTAGATTTGGATTTTACTGCCACAGAAGGAGAGGAGTGTTTGCAAATGCAAAAAATCGGCTGCCCGAAAGTCGAACGTAAAATTGACAACAAAAATTTTAACGGCAGGGCTCGATACGAGTTGGCACCAGAGAAATTTCAAAACGAAGTCCTTTTTGATTTTGAAAATTTCGTACGAAGCTCCTTTGACTCTGAACCCTAAACGTAAAAACCTTCAAGAAAACGAGCATTCTGCTCCAAAAACGATATACTGCTTGACTCGGTGCCAGCTGTGCCGAGATCTGTTTAGCGATTTTGAGAACATTCGGAGAAATCAAACTGAAAAAATTACTGTTGAAGGGGGGGGGGGAAGAGGTGGAAAGAAGTTGCATTCGCGGTTGTCTTTTGATTATAACATTAGGAAACTCCAATATAATGCCTGAACAGGAAACTCTGATTCCGTCACTCACCAGGACAAACTGTCTGTTCCGGCGGAACGCGTGCTACACGCGGTGGTTTTGATGAGCAACAAATATGCATTCCGTCTTGCGTACTTGGCACACATTTGTATCCGTCTGGACAATTTTGCTTGACTCGAGGTAGGCAGGAATATTGTGAGGGGTGCCTTAACAGCGAACTTTAATTATAAGAATGCTATTATGAGCAAAACTGTCTCATCATCAAAGTTGAATTTTGTACTGTAAAGGAACAAAATACTGTAAAGGACTTAAAGGCAGCCTACACCCAAAATCTAAGTTACCGAATTTCCTAGATCTTTCTATACCGTGTATATTCTGAGCCCAGAAAAAGACCAACTGCAGTGGTCCGGTCTCCCAATGTTGCTTCTGAGCGGAAAAAACCCCCTCAATTTTCTTTCACCCCGCCCCTTTTCTTCCACTCCGCCTCCTCTGGACGAATCCACGTCAGCGTAAGCTTCAGTTGCCGTTGCAGTTGTTGTTGCAATGCTGTTGCATCTGCAACTGCAGTTGCAACAGTGCAGTTGCTTTCTGCGGTGCGCCTCCTTCGCGCGACGAACCACGACAGCATATGCAGCAGTTGCAGTTGCAACTGCAGGCTGTCATGCTGCTGCAGCTGCTGGCATGCCGATGGGGACGAGCAGTTCGAAACTCGTCCGCCCCTGAAGAGAGGGTCCCCGGAAATCGGGGTTTTTTGGGACTTTTGGAGGATTTCAATGACATAAATGTAATCAGCGGCACGGAAAGGCCCCAGAGTGAAAAAAAAACATCGAAGGTGAAATTTTGGGTGTACGCTGCCTTTAAGAACACTCTTTCTTCTCTACTATCGCGCTCGCAGTCGTTTACAGTGAGAACAAGGACTGCATTTGATTGTACAAGCATTTTAGGAGATAATAACACCGAGTTTTGAGTAAGGATAGCGAAATCGATGCTCTTTAAAAGAGAGTGAAGATGGATCCATAGATCAAATGAGTTACAAACCCAGAGGGTACTGCATGAGAAGGCGCAGAAGCAGTGTTGGTTGAGCGGTCGCGAACGCGACGCGCGCGTTTTACCGTTGTAGATCCTGCTCCTCATGCGCTCTGCGGCTAATAAAGCCGCATTCGCGCCCAAAGGTACTGCTCCTTCGTCATGCAGCAGCCTACACAGGGTGCAGCAAATCATCCATATGTACATGAAATATTGGGTTGTTTCAAAAGTTCTACCCGTTTTCGATACCTTTTTTTGAACTGCCCATTTTGGAGGAAGAAACCAATTTTCATAAACAATACTTATATCATTCAAAAGCTCTTTTCTTCTAGTTTTTCAGGCATATTTTCATTTTCATAGATCTTTATTCGCTGTGTGGTTGCTACTTTGAAAAGACAGCGAAATAAATGTGAAAATTTTCGTTTTTGCTCCATCGTCGTAAAATCTACAGCTAAAAGAAAAAAGTTCTTTTAAAACATACACAATACTTGCTTGAGATCTGTGCTACGAAACGCTCATCGAGATATGAATTCAGAAAAATTTTGAACCTACAAATTTTTAGCTCAAACATAACCTGTCTTTATGGTCCCTTCAAGTCGCATAAAAATCATAAACATATTGCAATCGCGGAGCTTTAACTCTATATAGTAAGATTAGAGCTAGAACAACTGGCACTAGAAGAACGAAAAGGTTTCCTTGTTTGCCAACGGCGAACAAAATCAAAAATGTCAAAAAATTGCACTTTTTGCCACCTCAGAAAGAGCAAAATAAGTGGGTCCTTTCGGATTTTTTAGCACAAAATTTTTATGAAAGAGTTTGATGAAATCCAAAGTTAGCGGTACTGCTCAGTCGACTACGGGCTACACTGTGAGCAGTGCTTGTGCAACTCAGCTATATTCCAAATCAAGTTATGCCTTTGCAAAGTGAAGGTTTCTACAAGGAGATGTTCCTCGATTTTCGCCTATAAAATCTTCTCCACTGTTACTGCAATAATCTTGAAGAGTGCGCAGAATAGCCAAAGATATGCAGATTGTAACACAGTTTATAGCAATTGCAAAGATTATTTCTGAGAAGAGTTATGGTGAATCAAAGTCAAAGTTCGAAAACGGGTAGAACTTTTGAAACAACCCAATACAACAGTAAAATCAAAATTTTTGAGAGGTTGACATTACACACGGCAATCTACAGTTTTCAACTCCATATAATCTCGTAGCAAACTGTATTATTAATGTAGAGATACGTTAGCGCAAACTCTTCTGCTGCAAAGGTTGAACATATGATAAATCACTACCTCAGTGGTCGGTAACGAAACTGTTATTGCTGCCGCTGCTGTTGCCGCGACTACCGTTGCCACTGCTGCTATTGCTCTTGCCACAACTACCGTTATGTTACTGCTGGTACTACAGTTGTGCTATCATCGCTGTTACTGCTGCCACTAATATGGCTGCTACTGCCGTTGTTATTGCTGCAACTCACGTTGCCAACCGTTGTTACTACTGCTACCTGTTGCAGCTACTAATATTATTACCGCTGCAACTGATGTTGCCACTCTACCGCTGTTACTGTTGCAACTGCTATTGCAGCTACTTGTACTGTTGCAACTGTTTTTGCTCTACTACTGTTGTTACTGCTGCTTCCTGTTGCAGCTATTAGTATTATTATTATTGCTGCAACTGATGTTGCCACTTCACCGCTGTTACTGTTGCAACTGCTATTGCAGCTACTTGTACTGTTTTTGCTCTACTACTGTTGTTACTGCTGCTACCTGTTGCACCTATCATAATTATTACTGCTGCAACTGATGTTGCCACTCCACCGTTGTTACTGTTGCAACTGCTATTGAAGCTACTTGTACTGTTGCATCTGCTGTTGCTCTACTACTCTGCTGCTACTTGTTGCAGCTGCTAGTATTATTACTGTTGCACTGATGTTGCCACTCTACCGCTGTTACTGTTGCAACTGCTATTGCAGCTACTTGTACTGTTGCAACTGTTTTTGCTCTACTACTGCTGTTACTGCTGCTACCTGTTGCACCTATCATTAGTATTACTGCTGCAACTGATGTTGCCACTCCACCGCTGTTACTGTTGCAACTGCTGTTGCAGCTACTTGTACTGTTGCATCTGCTGCTGCTCTACTACTGTTGTTACTGCTGCTACCTGTTGCAGCTACTAATATTATTACTGCTGCAACTGATGTTGCCACTTCACCTCTTTACTGTTGCAACTGCTGTTGCAGCTACTGTTACTCTGAAATGATTTAACACTCTACCGTTGTTACTGTTGCAACTGCTGGCTCTACTATCGTTGTTACTGCTGCTACCTGTTGCAGCTATTAGTATTATTATTGCTGCAACTGATGTTGCCACTTCACCGCTGTTACTGTTGCAACTGCTATTGCAGCTACTTGTACTGTTGCATCTGCTGTTGCTCTACTACTCTGCTGCTACTTGTTGCAGCTGCTAGTATTATTACTGTTGCACTGATGTTGCCACTCTACCGCTGTTACTGTTGCAACTGCTATTGCAGCTACTTGTACTGTTGCAACTGTTTTTGCTCTACTACTGTTGTTACTGCTGCTACCTGTTGCAGCTATTAGTATTATTATTGCTGCAACTGATGTTGCCACTTCACCGCTGTTACTGTTGCAACTGCTGTTGCAGCTACCTGTACTGTTGCAACCGCTGCTGAAACCACTACCGTGTTATAACTGCCGCTGCTATTGTAGCTACTACCGCTGTTCCTGCCTGCGCTGCTGTTGCAGTTACCACCGTTGTCAGCACAACAGATAACTTCTAGTGGAACCTTATGGCATTGCTCAAGCGGCTGCCCAGATAATTCTTATGTGAACAAGAGAAAGCCTCCACCCTCTACGGTAAGTTTTCTTTTCCTTGCAGACCAGTTACGTTTGCAAGTACGCTACTATCCGGAGTCTCCTAGGAGGGGTTTAGAGGTCTCTTTCAGCTACGAGAATTTTATGAGCTGATTCTACTGGGCTGAACGAGGACATAAGAAAAGCAATACTACTCACTTATAAGTGAAGTGATTACAAGATGGTTGTCGCATGCAACATATTCCTTTTATACATGTAGATCCATAGGGGCATTCGTCCTCACAGGTTCGCACGTGACGCACTCCTGTTAGCGGCTGGAGGCCCGCTGGGCAAAGCTCTGAAAATAGCTCATTGAAGAAAAGGAACAACTGGATAATCCACAAAGTTTTTGTGAAGCTTCGTGAGAATACTAGCTGTGGTTTCACCGAGATGGATATTTTCCACCTTTTCTTCCAGGATCACGCTCAGCCTGTGCGAGTTGATTATAATGAAAATAGAAAGGTACCGGACTTATGCAGCACAAACAAAGCTTGATCTTTTCGCAGTTCACGTTGTGCCATTGTTTTCTTTTCTCTCATTTTCAGCCTGTTGGTGCTAGGTCGAAACAACGCTCTATTTCAGAATCTTTACCAGATGCATTTGGTGGATTACATGACGAACGATGCATACACTAATCAGCAAGCAGAAATGTCGAATGGGCGTGGCGGCAACTAACCAATCACAGCTTAGATCGATGGGCAGTACACCACCCATCCGCATGGTCACCGTTTGACTTGCCACGCCCATCCAGATTTTTGGAAACTATCAATAAGCATAGCCAAAAAGTGCAAGAATGATAAGATTTTGAAGCTGAAAACTTGTTCAGGCGGAGCCTCAAATAGCTGCAGAAGATTGAATCAGTGTTCGAAAAGTTTTATTACGTTTACAGACTCAACACAGTGTCAGTTGTATTAGCTTCAAAAACAGTGAATGCTTCAAAATTTGAGCTTAGAAAGCGACAATTGCCGTTGGCTACTCAAAACACTATTGGCAGATTTTTGATGATTGCTCAACCTGCGATAATCGTAACTTGCATTCATCATATTTACAGCTGTAAAAAATCGTGCTCATAGCCCCAAAGTCATTTGAACATTATTTGTCTCATCCCAAATATATGGTATGATATTCTCTTGTATCTCACGATTTCAAGATAAATCCTTTCGAAAAAAAGGACCGAAAAATGCGAAAGCAAACGGGAATCGCTTATGCTCGAGCCATTGTAACTTAATATGAGAGCTGCAGACAACGCGCAGAATCTCACGGCTTCACATCCTCAGTATTCTAGTGCAAACTTTTGGTGCAGCAAACCGACAAGAAACGTCTGCTTTAATCTACTTACGCACAAAATCTCTGAAAAAGATTGGCAAATACTAGAGAATGGCGATCAACAAGGGGTATAAGGCGTGTGATGTAGCGCACAGTCTGTATACACACTAAGTTAAGAATGACATTTTCATTTGTAATTTGTGGTAATGTTGATCGCTGGGTTTATGTTGTATGTACGTAATTGGATATTAAAACTTGGGGGAAGGGGGGGGGAGATGAGCAGGTTTCGTCGTTGCTGTACTACTTCATATGAATAAGGAAGAGCTCAGTTGTTGTTGAAGGATATCGAAGCAACAAACCTTTGAGATAGATATACGCCGGAGTTCCATACGTATCGATAAGCGTGATTAGATTATGAATAAGAAAATAGAACACTAGCATCGATGATGCAGGTAGATGAGGAAAGAGAGTGTGGTGCGCAATGTTTGCGTAATCTAATTTCGAGGACATCATGCATTGTTATTATAAAGGGGGTCATCAAACTTGTTTATGTGAGGTATTTTATACTTTATACTACTAAAACATCAGATTGTATGTTTTTGCATATTTTGCTAGCATTTCTTCTGTAATGACTACCTGGTTTTTCATTGTTTCCAGCTCATGCGATAATTCCTGCTCGCTACATCTGTGTGTTTGGAAGGTTCGTGACTTATCGTTGATGCTTAAAATCTGCGCGTATGCTTCCATTCGCGATTCGGTTATTTCTCGATTTTTGCCAATCACGACTAGATAATTTTGTGCTGTAGTGTTTCAAAGAATTAACATGAATTTCAAAATTTGCCCACACAGAAGGAGAAGGAATGGATTTGTGAATGAAGACAATAACATTTGTTTCTATTCTGGCGTGATGCAGTGGTGCTACATTGAACTCGCATCAATGAACAATTCCTTGTATATCAGTAACGATCCGTATTGACGTTTACAAGTGCAAAACCCATTTTCGATACACGAATGGGCTGTTTAGAAAGAATTGGCAAACGGCCAAAAATAAGAAGTATCGCATAATGCATCGTACTAGTAAGTCTCTACTATGCTAGGATGCATGCAAACACTAATGCCTGACGTTTGCTTTTGTAATAGTCAAAAACTTACATAATTACTCTAATTAGCCCTCCGCACTCGCAAGTAATTTCAGATTTGTATGTGCCCTTCCTAATAAAAGATAAATTGTATGTGCTACGTTTTCACTCCGTTTCGTTCCTTCCCTTAGACGGAGTTTGACTTGATTTCTAGATCTTCCCCAGAACTTCTCAGTAAGGAAGGAAGACCCACTATCAAGTAAAAGTATGTAGGAAATAATTAAGTAGGAAGTGAGTAGGAATGAGTTGGCCATTATTAATTCCGAACTGCATATTGCTGACTTCAAACTGGAATAATTCAGAATTATCACAAGTACTCAGACAACTGCATCGGGAAGTTCGCGGGTGCTTGTCCGACCACCAATCATCCATGCCGCCAGCTGCCCGGTAAACCCATATATTAGACCCGATAAATGACCGCGGCACATCCTGTAAGTGCCCGTTGGGCGCCTATATTTGGCTCGATTAGCATGCTTGTAAGACCTAGGAAGAGTGAAAAACTATATCTGTCTTTCAGAATGACGACTTGAGTGCAAACTGAGCAACTCGTTGGCTTATCTGTCGACATCATCTAGTATCGTCAATAATGGTCAACTGACTGCTAGAGTTTATTTCATAATCATGAAAACTCGATTCTGTCAAAAAGAATCAAATCTTAGGTAACACACAACTTCTTAAACACTTGGGGTAGCCCCAACGCTGCGGCGTACCTCACGCGGGTTGCGCCTTATCCTAGGCCCGCAGCCCGCCGAGTGAGGTGGTTGGGCCGCGACCCTCCCGATAATCTCTTCCCAATTTCAACTTTGGCCGCGGAGTTCCCGGTAAAATATACATGGGCCGCGGCTTGCGGGGCTGAAATTTCAAGGGCCGCGGCGCTCCATGTAACACGCTTTGAGGCCGCGAACTTTCCGATGCAATTGTCTGAGTATAGTGCAAGGAATAAACATTTGGCGCAGTACAAAGGGCGAGTCCCATGTCTAGCTTTTCGTCTCTGTACATCCACTTCACACTTCTCAAATCCATAGAAAGACGAAAACAACATCGGTAGACATTGCATAGACTTAGGGATCATCTCCATTAATCATCCGCCGATGCCTTATATTGCTAATCCCGCAATGGTGTCACAAAGTTAACGATCTGCCCTTTTTCAAAGTCATATCATCAGCAAACAATCAATAATGCCATAATTTATGGCTTAATTGAATGTTGGTACAGAGTATAGCTAAGGACTACCGAATTAAGGAAGGCTGCATTGGAGCAAAGCAATTTGTTTATCAGTCAAAGCAAATAAGATTTTGAGATTATGGAAACCCAAAAAAAATTTCGGAGTGTGGTTGATGCATCTTCGTTTGAAAAAAAAAGTTTTGCCGCCCCTCCACTTCCAGACGGGAATCCTGGGACCGCCATTGAGCTCTACTGAATGGTATTTAGTTGAAGCTAACCATTAATTTTGTACTATGCACTAAGTTTTAGATCCTGCTCACACTCATCGGATTGATGCTCAGTGTTAATATTATGATGGTCCCTAGGACAACTACGTGGAATATTTATTTATTTTTTATTTAACATGCAAAAAAGCGTGCCACATGACCACAATCAATGAAAAATTCGAGATATATTCAATAGTAAGGAATACAATAGAAAAAATATCCACTGAATCAGCTTAAGTCCAGCCACCGGTTAGTTTCGAAGAAGAGAACGAGAACAAGCTTATTTAGACCATGTACGGAATCATGTCATATGTCATTTATTCGTATCCTTGGTGCTTCTGTGTGAAGTTGATGTTGATGTGCAAAGCTTTCTCTCAGTGTTATAACATTTGGTATATTAAAGTAAAGAATCAGATTGCATGGTGCTCCGTGTCTACAAATGGATGTGCTTTCCTATCGTAACCGATTTTATTGCGATCTTTTGACTACAAACTCCATTACAATTATGCGATATAGAAACAACTTGAGATTTTCGATCCTCCCAAAGGTTTTCTGACATCAGAAAAGAGCTGTCAATATTTTGTAAGTTGCAGGTTGTAGCTTCATAAGGTTCAAATCCGCTGAAAATTATGGGGGATAGAGCAAATATTGAACTATTATTGTTATCATCACTTTGTTCTTCACCGCGAACCTCACGCAGACTCGGCTCACCCCAGCAGACTAGACTCGGTGCGGGTATCTTTTACACGAGTTGCTGCTATCTCAAACAAGTTTTCAGATAAGAACCTCAAAATTGCTAAGAACGAGAGGGAAATTTGAAATTTCTTGTAGAGAATTCATTGGTCGGAGAATTCAACGGGTTCATCGATATGCAATTTCAATCTCGTTTTACCAGTCAAGAAAAAAATTTGAGTAATTCACCTACCGTGTCTTTTTCTTCTGCCAAGTCAGAGATTATGTGTAAAACAATTTATCAATAACCGCAAACAACTTATTACAACATATGATTATAGTCATCATCAATATCCGTGCAACCAACAACGAAATCACATGTAGGTATACCCCATAACAAATTCACTAGATGGCTGATTTGCTCTACAACTCTTGTTTCTTATCTTTCTTATCCTTCTTCTCGTCCTTCTTCTTCTCGTCCTTCTTCTTCTCATCCTTTTTCTTATCATCCTTCTTCTTCTCTTCTTTCTTCTTCTTTTCTGCTTCTTCTTTCTTGGCCTTCTCCTCTTCCTTTTTCTTATTTCTAGCTTCTTCCTTTTTCTCGTCCTTCTTCCTCTTCTCCTCATCTGCCTTGGCCTTCTAGAACATTTTTATCATGACTAGAGTGGGAACATAACTTACAAACATTGATTTTGCACTCTAACTTACCTTGGCTTTTTCCTTCTCTAGTTCCTTTGCTTTGTGGGGTGGAACCTTCAATTTCTCAGTCCTCTTCAGCTCGGGAACCTAGAAATGGCAGTCGGAGATGGATAACTATTTTCAATTTTTTTGACCTAAAGTTTCAAACTTTTTTCATCAAAACCGTATACCCATGCCACTAAAGCTTTCAAGTCCAAATTTACGAAATTAGGTTTCGTTTCTGATGCGGGTATGATTACTATGCGAGATGTATATTGCTCGGCAAAACATAAAGAATTTTTTGTTCAAAGAACTTTTTCAAAGTTCAATATAAAAAAATTCCACCACCGTTTTCTTTGAAGAAAATTTTAAAAAATTCAACTTGACTAAAGTATATTAAAATTACTCAAATATATGTCTTGTATGCAATTTTCGCTGATGCGCTATCAAATCATGAACGTACCTCGATTTCATAAAACCGCAGCACATCCTTCATTGAGTTTAGGATATCAGCTGGTGAGGAGTAATAATAAGCATAGTTCTTGTATTCGGCCTTCTTGTTCTTGAACTGCTCCAAAAGATCTCCATTTTTATCTGCAAACATTACTTTTGCTGAGATCTAATTGTAAGAATTGAAAAGCCTTACCTAAGAACAAAAGTCGTGGAATGTATTTCCCATCTGGTCGGTATTCCTCCTCAAATGGCTCCTCGTCATCTTCAGTGTTGACCATGATGAAGTACTCTGACAACTTCTTGAAAGCTTTACGAGCATGTGATTGTTGGAAGGTCTTCTTCAGAGCTGTAATCAGATTATTGACGATGAGAAGATGAGGTTGTGACTCTTCAAACTTTTCATTATAATAGAGAGCTATAGTGGAGATCAGTAACATGATCAGTGATCTTTTACGATACTCGAAGTGACTATTCTACAAAATACATTTGATTATTGTCGAAAAGCAAAACAAGTATTTCAAGAATGCGGAGTCGAGGAAATTCCAGTTTAATCAGATGAGTGAGTCGGGGCCTAACGATTGTATGTAATATTACTTAATTCAGGTATATTTTAGTGTACGAAAGTGATTTGTTCGAAACGTTTGTACGAGAACTCGAAAGCGAATGATCAAAAATTCGGTTGGATTTTCTGTTATAATAAATTGCTCGTCCACATTGAATTAAACTATTATCTAAGTATTAAGTTTGCGAATCGGCGAACTTCGATTTCGATACTTGATATGCGCCAATAGACAATTTCCGCGGAATCAAGCGTAATTTTGCAAACATACAGAACGTCCCAAAAAATGACACCGTATGATCGTTAACATCTCTGCTTCAACGTCTTTTGCCAAACTTTAGGCACCATGTGGAGCTGGCCTCAACTCAATCCACAATATGAAGCAAATCTCCTCTCTCTTCATAGTTATCCTAGTGCGGTAGGAATTTTGAAGAGGGTTTCAAGCCGGTAAGAGTTGCATTTTACCTCAAAAAGGAAATCAAGCAAGCCGAAAACTCGTATACTAGGCTAGTTATAGTCGCCGATTTTTCACATGAAAATTCGCACACCACCGTCTTGCTTGTTTCTAGCTGATCCAGGTAAACCGTAACAACCGTTCCCAGTGTTATTAGAAATTGTGGTTGCACCACTAAATGGTCAGAAAGTATGAAAATTGTGTGATAAAATCAGCATGCGTGAAAACCCTGCCACACCATGTTCCAGATTTTTCTGAAGCTTCTCAATCATACATCTTTCACAATGAAGCTCGATGCTGAAACTTCCTGCTTAACCCTATAGTAACGAACGATCGATAACTCACTCTAGACTGTTGATCTAAATGAAGCCATGGTACACAAAGATTGGTCGTAGACATTGAAACAAGCCAGTTATTAAAGATAAACAGAGTGCGCAAATTTTTTAGGACACTTTACTCCAACGTTACATTCAACCGCATACCCCGACACATATGTTAAGGATTTTTTTTGATATAGAGCTTAGTCCACAATTAAGTAGATGGTTGATTTTTAGATCCATGTGTGTGATGCAAAGTTCAGAATTGAAATTGCTACAATAAGACTGGGGGTAACTGCAAAGTTCTCTTTTCACGCTTCTGTGCCGAATAAGCCGATATCTCCAACTAGGTTCTAGAGGTTAAAAATGCTAGATCACTTTACTCCCAAAAAGTTGCTTTCAGAAACTTGCGGGTTCAGGTATATGTTAAAGATACTGCAGAAATTAAGTTCAAGCAAGTCCACACTATTTAAGTTTGACTTTTTCCATTTCAAACAAGCAGTAAATACTCAACCACCTTGCACTTTTCTTCGGCGACCAAACTAATCGCTTCAAGCGATGAAGACCTAGCTTTTAGGTAGATAAACTTCTTAGGAATTTTCAAACAATTCTAAGCCTTCCATAAATCAGCGCTGTCTCTAGCATCTCTATCTGAGATCTATTACGCCGGCTAGCTAGATTGCCTAGTCACGATAATATCACCGTAGTTATCCAGAAAAGCGACTTCCAGAAAATCAATGCATCGACCGTGACCTCGTCAACGGTTACGGCCGTAGTAAGTCTTACCAAAGTGAGCGTGCAAAGTAATTCACTCAAAATTACATGAGTGTAACTGTGACACTTTTTTCTAGCAAATTCGTACATCATCTTACCTTTGCAAGCGTGACACCAAGTTTTGTGAATCAGCAAGAAGATAGGTTTGTTCTCGTCGAGCGCCTTCTCAATCGCATCCTCCCAAGGAACCCAATCGATGTCCTCACCGAATCCTAGAAGAGAAAAATTGAATTGGGCGGAATTGCAGGAGGTGGGGGGAGGGGTGGGTAGCTTACCGTGAGAAAGTGGGTTAGAATAGATCTCATTTATCTTATCGAGTTTATTGGCATTGACTGGAGCGAGCAAATAAAGAATTGAGACTAGACCCGTCAGTGGGATTAAGGACCGCATCCTGTAAGACGAAACGTCAATTTGGGAGTAAAATATCACTTTTATCGCACAAGAATCAAAAAAAAGCGTGGACATGCATGAAAAAATCAACAGAAGAAGACTTGAGCTACTCAAACTGCTCGATTGCCGTTAAAGAGAACACCTCAGCGTCCAAGGCGAAGGCACAGGCCACAATCGTCCGCGACATGAACGACCTTCACAAGAACGGGGAGTTGGGTCGGGTGGCGATGGTGGCCCCGCCGCTCGCCCCAAAACCCGGTCAACGCCGACACTTCGATTCTCACTTTCGCTCGTGTCTTTTCTTTTCGTAGACTGTGGAATGCGCATGTTACAACAAGAGTGTCAAGAGATTTTACGAAGAAAAATTATGGCCCGGAATCCTCACGCATTATTTTGTTTTGGTACCCCGCAAATTCGCAGTTCCAGGATTTTTTTTTCCAAAAATTAGTTCTAAAAAAGAATGATGTTCTGCAAATATTGCTATGACTAAGAAGTAAAGAAAGTGATGGTTTGTTGATGAATTTGAATACTCAAATATGGAGGGATGTCTGCTCGCCCAAAGAAGTTTCAGAAGAGAAAGCGATCGCAACACCTCCTACCACAGAATTCTAGTTTTCAAACAGCTTTCTTCGTAAAAAAAAATTGTTGACAAATTATTTAGAAAATAACAGTAGTTTGATTTCTGCAAACTTTTCTGTTTCAGGTGGAATTGAGTGGTTGCCTGGATACTATTTCACTGTTATCCATTGCTGATACATTTGCTAAGTATACTTATAGCATGCATTGACGAGGATGTTACAGTAATCGGGATCTAACTTATTTACGCTATGATGCAACTAATGCAAATGCATTTGTTCCAGTTGGTGGAAAAGTGAAACCCTCATAAAACCGAGTTGATTAACATCTAACTCAAATTTGCAAATGAATTGTGGCAATCACAATTAGACTAGGAAAATAGTAAAACACGATTTGCGTTCCTCCACCAGACCAATTTTTTCAAAGACCTTACAGGGCTGTGTGACCATTGTTCCACTATTACTGCATCTACAACAAAGGGCTATTTGTTTGATGGGCGTGAAAATGAAGTGTAGGAAGCGATCACGCTTCGTTGAAAACATTTTACAACTTGCTCGTTGAAACAACACAGGAGGGGAGTAAAAGTTGCACAACTCAATCCATCTCAAAGTTTTTATTATGATTTGCAATGAGTCATAGAAGTTTGAGACAACAACGAGAGAGCGCTTGATTAGATAGACGCCAGAATGTCCGCAATGACACTCAGTCTGTTCAACAAATAAGTGTTACAGTCCAGTAAATTTTCGGCTTGATTTTGCGCTTGCAGTGCCGAAATTTTGCGATTAAATTTAGGCGTGAGCAAATAGTTGCGGCAGTACTGCCAGTAATTTGCGCGCGCTAGTGGTCGGCATTATTGGGGTGGGTGATTGTTCACGCGCAAAATTGGCCCCAAAATCTCGGCACCGCAAGCACACTAAATTAAGCGGAAAATCCACTAGACTTTGAATTCTAGAGGCACTTTCCGCTATTTGTGACTGCATGGACCAGCTCTAATATGGGTATTAAAACGAAGATTGAAAAAAGTGCTACTCATATCTGTTTTGTCTTGTGAGAATGCACTCTGAAATTATCTTGAATCACCGTACAATACGCTCTGCAATTACCGAGAAACTAGTCCGAGAAGGAACACACAACACATGAAATGACATGAGCTGAGAATGACGCAAACGCGAAATATATTACAACCATAAGAACGGCGCTTCGCTGGTGAGTAGTAGCGTCGGCTTCGTCCATTCCCTAAGAGGTGGACGTTTCGATGAACCGGTTCTACGGCGACGTGTCCATTTCCAAATGGGCGTCATCCAAAGAGGATGAGCTATGGTTGTAGAAAATCAGTCCACCGCTTCAGAGTTTTTGCCGATTATTCTCGTTAGAGAAACTGTGCAAGAAAAAAAAACCGAGAAGAGCGAACTGCGTACGGCTAACCCCGAGTGACCCTTCAGCTCTCTCTCCAACACGAAGCAAATAAATGGTTCATCAAAGAAATTTTGTGGGGATTTGCTTTCCACTCACAATTGTCTCATGTTGATCAGGGATAGGTGAATGGACAAATATTCAAAATAGGCGAGCGGGCGAATCGTCGATTTCCAAATCAGAATTTTTGTGGTGCACATAGCTGCTGCCTAAATATTTGACTATCTCAAGCAAACTCAAACAAAATTCTGATCTTTCAACGAACAGATTGAAAGCGTTTTCTCAAAATCTCGCGACATTTCTGGTCCACTAAAGACGTGCATTCCACTTAAATTTTCATAGAAAAACCTTTACAGTTACTCTAAAAAAGAAAAATCGCTGGATTATTTGTCTACAGAAGAACTCACAACACTGTAGCTCTACCTAGTTAGTTGCTAGCTAACTTTGACTCCCGATATTTCAAACTTGTATCAATTTTGATAGGATCTAGACAGGTTGGCAGTCTCTTCGTCTGGAACGCCGACTGAGGAAGTCGTAGTTGGCGAATCCCTCCCCCTTCTCGCTCGCCCAGGGTCCTGGACGGATTCCGTCCGCCCGGGTTAAGTGGTCAGCCAGCCCTGGTACTTTCTACCTCCCTCGCGTCCGGGTAAGGGAACAGGAAATCGGAGAGGACTACTCGTCATCAGAAGGAGAACGACCTGCACTCCGGCAGGAGGCTCATATCACCTGTCTCTCTTTTGTCTAGCCAGCTGTATATACGTGTTAAGTTTGTCGTTGTCTTTTTCTAGTTTTTCTAGTTTTCTAGTTTTGGCACACCTTTGGTGTATTTCAAATAAATAAATAAATAAATATTTGTAAAGTCGCCTGGTTTCCTTTGTACTTCTGTTCGTCTCTATTGTGTTTATCTAGTCCTTTTTAGTCGATCTAAATGCGTTTAGTTCGTGTTTTAACTGTTTTACTACTCAGACAAATCTGCGCGCAGGCGGCGCGCACTGAATCAGCGAGCGATGTACCTTCCCGCCGCCTGTGTGTGCAGTGCGCGCCGCCTATGGATTGAAGGCCCGCCGCCTGCGCGCTACGAGGAAATTTTTGGCAGGAATCTGCTCGGATTTTTGTTGTCGGTCTGAATATCTTATGCTTGTTGGACAATATGGTTTTACAACTGTTTTATTAACGAATAATATCTACAATTTTCAAATTTGACAGGTTTTAACACTGTCGAGACGCAGACTAATTAGATGGCCCGACAGTAGCCACGCCAACTGGGCGGTGCCCAGCAACTCCAGATGAGCTGTGCCTAACCGGGTGACCGGCGGTTTCCCTTCCCCTCTCATTCTACTTATAAATATATAATAAAGATTCTAGTCATAATGTCATGTTCATATAAAGTAAGACAATCAGGGTGAAGGATTCAAGTCAAGAGAGTGCACCTCTTGGACTTGACATGGAGGTCCCGGGTTGTTTTCTTTTTATGACTCACATTTTTCTGAATCAATCACTTTTCGAGAATTTTATTCTCTGAATCAACACTTTATGAATTTAATCAGCATAGATTTTGGCCAAATCTTTTGCAAACTCCCACCGCCGGCACCAGCCCTCATCTCCTACGTTTCCACGTAGTTTTTTCTTTTTTATTCATTTTTTCTCATTTTCTGCTTATTTTTTTGAGTCAGGCGATGAGTCTGAGTTTTGTATTACTTGCTATTCTTAGCATAAAATAATATTTTCTATTTTATTTTCTACCTAACGATATTTTATCTCTTTTTTTCTCTTCCCTAATTCCGCGAGCCGTGATCCCCCGAGCCGTGAATAGCGAACCGTGAATTTTCGACGCTCTCTCTCTAGATCGATTTAATTCTCTAGATTGAGATTCCGCGAGCCGTGAATTCCGCGAGCCGTGATTTCCTAGAGCCGTGATATCCCGGAGCCGTGATTCCGCGAGCCGTGAACAATTGTTTTTTTTCTTTTTTCATCCAATCGATTTTTATCCGTCTTTATTCCATTGGGAACCCCATATTTTCTTTACCGACGCGTAACAATCTCAGTGACTCTATCGCCACCGCCGGCATTGTATATATGTACATATAAGGTTATGCAAGTGGAAAACGCACTGTGAGCCTAATTTTATCCATAACTCTCACTAGTGGAAAGACCACTGTGAGGGCACTTTTGATCTTAATTCTCACTAGCGGAAAGACCACTTTGAGAATACTTTCCTTTTTTTGGACTTCACTAGTGGAAAGACCACTGTGAATGTCATTTTTTCCCGCTCACTAGTGGAAAGACCACTGTGTGCCTTACCAAATTCAAAATTAAGTTCTCACTGGTAGAAAAACTACTGTGAGTCCAATTTTGCTGAGGGAGAGTTTCATAATTATTTATTATGATTGCCTGAGGAAAATCGACGGGCTATCTGATAGCTCGCGGTTACTTCCAAAGGCTACGCTCCCAGTCCCTTATTTTTAATGGCTAATCACTCAAAAACGAGTGACATTTAGCCGCCAGAAGTAGGCACATGCTGCGGCAGTGCCCTTTGAACCTCGTATCCCATCGACGAATGTCTGGGCCAGAGGTATGCGGCAATTGTTTGATGCTGATTAGCCACCCATGGACCTTGGCTGGATCAGCCTTCTTATGGAAGCCGAGTACGATTGGAAAGAGGATCCGTCTCAAGGACTCCTCGAAATGATATTTTCTAGGGAAGGACCAACAGATGTCATGGAAAACTTTCCTACAACTCTACTCGCACATTCATAAGAGGTATGCTTTTTTAGTCCTTGTCTACGTTCTTTTTTTGGTTTACCCTTTTCACGCTTATTTGAAAAAAAATTTAAAAAACCAACAGTCACCCATGTTTGAGTCTTTGAGAAATTGTGGAAGCCAGCCACTCCTCAAAGACATATGAGCATGACTTTGGACTGGTTTTTGAGAAAAAAAAACTTATGAATCGCGATGACCAGCTAAACTCGCTAACTAGCAAATTGAGTTTGCTTTAACTGCTAAAAAAATTT